CAATTTTACAAAACTATCCATAGGTCATTTATCTTTTCCACCAATCTTAGTCATGATAATAAGATGTTTCGATAAATAATCTAGCAAACCATTTAATAATTAGTGCTTAGGTTTGTTTATTTTGCGTTTCATCTTGGAATAAAGAATAATATTTTCTAACCTACATTTGTTCGCGTGTTACTTTAATATGAAGTTTTATAGAAAAGAAGACTTGATTTTCGATATTATTGCTGTGGTAAACCGGTTTGAAGTCGGATGCTCCCCCGATCGTTGACACCAGGAATATTCTTCCTATTCGTTACCGATGAAAATTTCAGAAATTGGTTTGGCTAGTTGGTATATATAAACTAGTTTACGTTATTCAGACCAATATTTTGATTTAAAATATTCAACCACCGGCACCTGTCATTTAAAAGTATGGTACCTGTATTAGTAAAAAGTTTGCCCAGGGCCCTAGTCAGGGGCGAATTATGTCCCCCTGCCCCTTTATGTATAATTTAATTACAAAAAACAATTAACCACATAAGTGTATTATTCATTAAAAATAACCACAACCAACAGTAAAAAAAAACAACTACGAACATTTTTAGGTTTTTTAACTGTTTTTATACCCGATATATATATCGGCCGCACGCAATATCGATTGAGCTCTAATCCTGAGGGAGTGTGACAATAAAAATTCATGCGTCCAGTCTCAACGTGAATCGAAATACCAAAGGATACAAGTCACAACTGTAGTTTGAAATTTAACCGGTAGCCTACCTAGTAGTCTACCTTAGGATAGTTTAAGGTTGCTAGATTGAAGGACCACAAAAAGTTTTTAGGAGGTCTCGCGGGCCGCAAGTCGAAAAATAGCCAAAAGTGATCAAAATATTGCGAGTTTACTTACTTAAAATTTAATAAACAACTAAATTTCACCGTTCTAATCAGACTATTAATATTTTTCATGGTTGGCGTTTTTTTTAAGAAGATGTATAAAGCTTTTAGTTATTTTAACATTAATTACCGTTGTATTTTCCGCATCTTGCGTTTAATGTCGCTTCAAATTATATTCCTTTGTGACAGATATTACTTGCAATGAAACCAGACAGTATGTGATGGGCAAGGAAATACGTTTCCGCCGTGACTTCCTTATGTCACCTTTCTTGTGACACTCATTTTATTACGAATAGGGCTGGGCATTTTCGAATACCTTGTGATTTCAGAATCGAATAATATTTTTCGAATCGAATCGAATCTCGAATACTTGAAAATATATAATTGTAAGTGATTTTATTATAGTAATTGTACCTCTCAACAAATGAATTACCGAAGACATAGAATAAATCACCCAGATAGATTACTGAGCGCTCACACAGAATAACAAACACGTTTTATCAATAACTCACTACAGAAAATAGTCATATGTTAGAATTTCGTTGAAAAAATATGACTCCAATGAAAAAAAAATTGGGGAATTCACCTCGACCATTAGCGGAAAGATAAAAACAAGATGGCGGCGATTCGAAATTTAGCTCTGAACCGATTCGAATAATTTACTATTCGATTCGAAATGCTCAGCCCTAATTACGAATTGTTATATTTGAGTAATTTAAAAACTTGCAGCGTGAGCAAGCTTAGCGTCATCGTCAAATAACAACCGAGTCCGTCTAAGTTGGTATTTCAGGACCTGGCTAAAAAAAACTGGATTGCGCGGTGGTTGCTCTGCGCACCGTCACTACTGTCACATGGTTCACGATTGAAAACAGAGAAGTGTTTTTACTAAAATAAAGGCGCAAAACGTTAGAAAAAAAGATTTGAATCTCGGGATCCCAACCCCAGTTGGAATAGCTAAAAAAAACTCAAAAACGTTCTGCTATTAGTTACAAATTTACGCTAAAATTATTCTGTGGGCTGCACGGAATGTATCAGCGTGACAGGGTTGGACCACCCTGATCTACCTTATTAAAAAACTCCCGACTTTGCTGACCACTAGATCGCTAAAATGCGATCTTCGAACCACCACATAGTGCAAATAGTCCATTGGTCCAATTGTTGAAGGGGAAATAAATTTTTTTAAAACAAAATTGCAGCAACAAGGTGAATACTAGGTAGAAAAAGCAACAAAAATATGAGAAAACGACTCATAGGCCCATTTCGTGTCAAATAAATAAGTTTCAGTGTTTATATATTTTTTTAATAAAGAATGGTAATATGATACTTGAAGATGAAAAATAAGCGAACATTTTAAAGTTCGAGTCGTTTGGTGAACTCGAAATATTTTAACAAACACCGATGAACTATATAAAATTCTGCTCTGAAATATCTGCTTGGTGCCCTAAGCACTTGCTTATATTCCTAGTCTATGACAGCTAATTCTGGACTATTTTTATTTCTGTAAATAAAACTGAAACTAATAGAATGACGATTAGGTTATTTGCTTCACACTTGAATTTCGAAAACACAACCGTAAATATATACTACTACACAACTAAAATCTGAAATATAGCATGCAAAACCGTGAAAACGATGTAATGTTTACAACGTGTCTGAGTATCTGGTAAACTTTCTATTGCTATGTCATATTTTGAACCTTGCTGATTAGCTAATGTTATGGAAGTAAATAAACAAGGAAGTCGTTTTCGAGAAAACGTGATTTGACAGGTAGTTTTGCTTGGTACCGGAGATTTGTTTATACATTATTTTCACATGCGTACACTTCTAGGGTTTCCCGGTTTGACAAATTAACAAAAACTCGCCCTCACGTGGAACCGACTGGACGCCGCCATTTTGTATATGAAGCAGGCGGCGGGGCTTTCCCTGTTAATCCTGAAATGGTACCGTACCGGTAGCATGCCATAGCATAAGTCACTTTGCATAGCACTACGGTACGCTCTGACTCTACAAGTTACCGGTAACTGTACCGTTAATACTGTACTGTCGGTTGTATTTATATGCTAGTAGTATCTTGGTATGATTGCATTGGTACCATCAGAGTATAATCTTATTTAGAACTGGTGCACTACAACAGCCTGGTAAACGTTGGGGATACCGGTACGCTCGCCACCGCATCTCTGATTAACCTTCGTGGGATCGCAGGTTCGAATCCCATGCAGGGATGATCATGTGCGAGAGGATTGCTCGACTCCTCGCCGCGGTAGAGTGGTTCAGGTAACCGCTGGTCAGTTACGCCTTCCTCCACCATCAAGTCCATGCTTCCGAAAACAAATAACTGGCTAACTAATCCCATACCGTACCTGACCGCTGACCTGGACTGGTAACCGGACGAGAGGCCGTGATTCGCCATATGATTAAGCCGTTTTATCGGCTTTTCTCTTCCCCGGGATAAACATGTAAATCCTATTCTAGTGCAGTAGTGGGGCTGAGGGCACGGCACGGGTCTCATGTACGATTGTTTTGTACCTAACGTACTTCTAGTGGGCTTGGAAAAAAAATGTTCACCTGTCAATCCCAACCCCCACCTGACCACGCCATTCAAAAATTATGTCACAGTGACGTAATAGACCCCTTCCAGTACGGCACGCTATCCAAATTCCAAGAATTTCCCTCTATTTGGTTCAATAAAACAAACACTCATGTGTCTCACAAACGAGGAGTGTCTGGCACGACGGCAGATGAGTCATATCGCGCCATGCTTGTCTCAATAATAATCTAAATTGACCGTGGCCATCACGCGACCAAAATTGCCGTTTTTTTTCTAAAAACTCTCGAATGCCACGGTAAAAATTTTTTCCTTTGGTAAATCGGATTATTTTTTCCCGAGGAATTCAATGATGACATTTTTAGATTGCGCTTTTTTGTTGTATTTTGCGCAACCTCATTATACTGTATTTGTACCGATATTGAGGGACAACAATGTCCTGTCCAGACCTCTCCCAAAGAAGGGGTGTCTGATCATCAGTAAAATGGGTTTCTCTGAAACGAGACAATGCCGCTTGATCTGTATAGTGTGTTGTACTGCCATATACGATTTTCCGGTAATCAATTTAAGGAAAATTTTTTTATTCTAGCTTTCCAGAGTTTATAGCAAAAACGCTCAATTTTGGTCACACTTGTTAAGATTTATTCAGTCTTAATGATTTACGGTGCGATCTGGCGCATCTTCCATAGTTCCAGATGCCCTCATTTCAGAGACAAATAGAATGTTTGTTTTATCAAAACAAATGTCGGGACATCTTGAAATCAGAGAACTGTCCCCTACTGCAGTACTTTCATTCTCATCCTGTCATTGTAGACCGGAAGTGTGTAACTGCAGTTACATCATAAAACATCCTGATATCCAGGTCCTGCTCTGGTACTTCAGCTCTTATTTCTGTTGTACACAACACTGTAACATATTACAGTATTATAGATATTTGAACTGCAGCATTGGTTACCTGGTTTTGCTCTACCAGTCTACTGGACATTGTTTCTGTGTTAGAACTCATAGTCACTTATGCCTTGAAAATAATTTGTATACTATATGTATACTATTTGTCATTGTTGACGAAATAAAATACTACTACTACTACTAGCCTACTACTTATCTCATTGTAATAGAGTGACTCTACTGAGACATAGACTTGAAAAACTGACAGTGAGATTTGATTTGAGATTCAATGATAATTTTCACATTTCCCAGTAAAATGCAATTTGTTATATGTCATTGTTTTCTAATACAGTAATTCCTCGCATTGGCAAATACTGCAATACACGAAGGTTCATTGGGAGTTATTACAAAATTGCTAATACATACAAATCAGTTCTTTTTGTCAATGTGAGCTTTGGTTATGCACTGCATTCTTTACTCAACTTGTCTTGACTTGTCCTCCATTTTGAGATCAATGCCCAGTTTGTAATGGCAATCATTTTTATGTTATACAAGTCTTACAGTCTTATGAAAGTTATATTTGATTTCTATAAGTACCTACTGGTACCTTTCTTGCCGCCCCCAATCCCATATCTACAGACTTATTGAACTATGGCTAGTAATTTAACAAGAAAAGTTTTTATGGTGTATTTTACAGATTCAAGATTTATATTCTTGGTTTCCAAGTTCTTTGAAATTCTGACAAGGTAATACAAAATAAAAGCTGTGGCATGCAGGTGACTAGCCCAAACAGTATCAAGATATATAATTTGAGCAGCGGAAATTCACTTCCACAAGTAAGTGCGCCATTCAATTTTGATATTGGTTTTATTAATGTTCCTTTTCCCATATTTGGCCATCTGAGTCTGATATTGATATTAGGTATTATAAGTTTATGTCTTTTATTGATGCTGTTTGCTCCGAACAAAGCTGCATACAAACAAACCGGTACTGATATCTAACAGTATGTAAGGAGACGTTATTATGTTTTATTCAAAATCATGATATATGTCAATTTTTACTTTGTCAAACTTGACATAATGACAATCTCACTATGTAAATGACAAATTTCACTGAAAAACAATGTTTAAATTATCATATTTTTAATTTTATATGAAACAAATTTTTCGTTTATCCGTCTGTTATTTGTCTGAATGCTGAATGAACATTCAAAATTTTATATATTATAAAATGGAAAGAGTACAAACAGTATATTCGAGCTTGAATGGACACAAGATTTATGGTCTTGTATATAGAATGTTTAATTTTTTTAGTGGATGTGTTCAAACATTGGTCATTTTATATAAATTAACAAATTAGAGATGCAAGTATTGCAGTACACACAGCTGTGTAAAATTGCTTGTAGTAAAATTGCTTCCATTGGGAGCAGTTCAAGATTTACAACAACTTATTGGATCAGGTTTTCTTTTGTGTCCTAATCTACATGTTGGTATTATTAATTAATAATAATCTTCCTGTTTCTGTCTTCACTTAGTTTCTTTCTCAACAAAAAAAGCGAGCTCTTCTCAAAAAAGATGTCAGTTTACGTAGAAGAATCGAACTCATTCAAGATTTTACGATGCCAACTGTCTGTACATCAGTTCAAATGACAAGAGATGGAAATTATGTCTTTGTTGCAGGTGAGGAATTCTGTTTTCCTAGTAGAACGTTATGTTTCCAAACATATTTACAAAACATACTGTATATAATAGCTTAGAAAGCCAAGAAAAAGCTGAAATTCTATAAAAAGGAAATTACTAATCAAGTGATTTTGTTGATAAATATCTGAAATATTTAATTTGACACGGACTATTGGCTACTGTAAAGCTAATATTATTCGGAAAAGTAATGGAAAATGTAAATCTAACTAAATCGGTGGTCCCAAACCTTTTGTTCGACTTTCCTTCCTTAATTAACTTTTCATTCCCTCCTCACTATGCATAGTCTACTTCTTGTTTCCAGTTCTTATTTCATATACAATGACGGAGCGACCTACACTCTAGCTTTCATACATTTTGAATAGTATATCTGTGTATAAATAGGCAGTACTATGGTGAATTATAAGGGAAATTATAATTAGGACTATATGCAAATTTTCTCCTAAAAAATAAATTAGATTGTGTAAAAATTTTTCTCCAAAAACAAAAAAATTTCGTCCTGGTTTGGAGACGCCTTTTTGAAGTATATTATAATATTAGAAAATATATTAAGAAGTTGTCGAATTCTCAGCTTGCTTTTATATATAAATCTGATTAGTAACATGAACAGTTAATAAGCACCGGAAGTTGCTTTCAATTCAGTTGATATTGGGTTTAAGACACCAGTTCTCAACCAGTGGGCCATGGCCCACTTCTGGGCCACAGAAACTTTTCCAGGCGGGCCACAAACCTTTTAAAAATTTTCAGTTATTGATAAATTAGTTAAACTTTGATTGTTTTAGCAATGAATTATGCTTTTTGGCACTGGGTGGTAATTTCCATTTTAATTAATGAAGTGGAGGTGTCCATCATTGCGAAAAGAATTTTTTCTTTTAGTTTTTCCCTTGCGTGAGAAAGGTAATGGTCACATGATTTTTGTGCAATGAAAGTGGGCCATAAAAAAAAAGGTTGAGAACCGCTGGTCTAAGTTCCATCTATCTATAATTGCGACTTCGAATTTACAAAAATTCTGTATGTCTGTCTGTCTGTCTGTCTGTAAGTCTGTCTGTGATAGACTGATATTTTAATGAAACGAACAAAACCTCCTTTTGATTTCAAGGAACCTACAAGCCAAGGATTCGTTGCTTTGATGTAAATCAACTTTCCCTGAAATTTGAAAGATGCCTTGATGCTGAAGGTAATTTTTAAATAAAATTTCTCTCCGTCTATATGAAAGTATTTTTCTGATTTATCGAATTTTTTTTTCAGTTGTTTCATTTGAGGTTTTGTCAGAAGATTACTCGAAAGTAAGTAAGTTATTTTGTCATTTATTTTTTTTAAATACCGCTTAAACTTTTTATTCGTTTTTATTTATAGAATTAAAGAAATTGTCTTTGATTGATTAACAAGCAACTGGCATTATGAAGCATATGTATCCAAATTTAATTGTCATTCAAATTTATATACATTTGCATATGGTTTTGATAATTTTTGAGACATGAAAGATGATCCTAATGGCACATATAGGACATGGGTAGATGTGCTCATGCCTGTACCAAGCATATTGATTCATATGGCATATTGGTATTTGATATGAATATAACTTTGCTCATTAAATTGACATGCGATAAAAACTTTCAAGAATTGAGCAATTTTGTTATAAGCTTTATTATTCTTCTGTTCTTTGATTTATATCCAATTGGTAATATACCGTAAATGGAAACTCGCAAATAGAACTGATAACTATGATAACAGTGAGGTGTTACAAAGAAACTTAGAATGATGTATGGGCGAAAAAATTGTCTCACAGATTAGAGAAATACCAACTACATTACTAATTTTATGCTATATTAAACTACACACCACATTTTCTGCCTTGACAATTGTGGGAATTGTTCTTCTGTCTTCTGGGTTTCACTGACAATGACTTGGAGAACTTTTGAGCTTCGAGTCAAATTCAACTAAGATTTTCTTGCACCGACACAGCTTCGGCATTAGCTATTTGTTTGACCGAGGTCTCTTGCCACTCTACTATCTGTGATATATTTGTTCATGTCAGTACTTTGTGCAAACTTATATCAAATAAAAAAGTCACCAGGACCAACACAATTTATATAAATTATTGTATTATAAGAAATCTTACAGTACCGAAAATATCATTCGTTTCATTAGTTTTAATATCGTAGTTTTGTCTTAAAGTTTTCAAATTAAGAATTTCTTTGACCAGAATATATTTGGCTTTTTGAGAAAGCATCTAGATTATTAGCTTCATTATACCATTTGGATTAATATGGGCTTTTTTAAATTAGATTGTTATGTTATTGAATGATCGTTATGTGGAATTCCACTCACAAGAAGGAAGGTGGTACAGAGTAAGAATGCCGAAGTTTGGACGGCACATGAAATATTATCCAGGAAATTGCGATTTGTATTTAGTTGGCACAGGGTAAGTAAATTGTTTCGTAATAAGTTGAGAAGAACTCAGGTACATTCATAGTTAGGCAATTTTGTGAATATCTGTTATTGACTATAAATTTCTTTGTTATCTGGTATAAATTTTATATTGTGTTTGTGTTATATCTCAAACTTTTTGAAAGTTATAGAGCAGGTGTGCCATGACAAAATTTAGAAATAATTAATTCATAAAACAGGGGTTGCAACCTGTGGCCCATAATGAAAAATTGTGCAGCCCGCGGGTAAGTGCCAATTTTGAATGGTGTGCGCCTTGCGAAACAAGGTTTAAATTTAGTTTAATCTGGCACATGCGAGTAGTTCTAATCCCTTTGTTTTGCAAAGCCTATACCCAAGTCCAATTTATTATCTATGCCTTAGAAGTTACAATAGGCTACTTTTTTGTGCCTGTAGCTACTGGAAAGTCTATGTTAAATAAAGGTGCGGCCTGTTTCAACCAGTTATTTGTATCTGACCCTCCTGCATTAAAGGTTGCACACCCCTGCATTAAACAATAATAGGTTTTAAATATACTGATTTGGAGCTTTGGGTGGATGGAGAAGAATTTTTGAATATCTAATGTCTTCTCATTTAGTTGTCGCCTAAAAATGCATCTTTTTTTTCAGTCCTGAAATTTACAGACTCAATTTAGATCTGGGAAGATATTACCAATCATTCAAGACAAATGCACTGTAAGTTGTGAAAAATCTATTTTAAATTGAACTTTTTTACAAAAAAAATGAAACGCAGCTCTGCGAATGAGTGAATATTACATGTTCGTCTATTGTCCTACAAATATTTTTGTTATGATTTTATAATCGAGATTCGAGATGCATGGATAATATACAGTGATACTTCGGTAGTTGAGCATAATTTGTTTGGGATTGATGTTCGACTACCAATTTTTTCGAAGTATTTAACTTTTTTGCCATAAGGAACAATATTAATTATTTTAATACGTGTTTACGCATTTCAAAATACCCAAAATATTAATGAAATGTGTACCTGAACAACACTAATTATAATGAAAATGAGCATCAAATTTACCATTTCCTTAATTATTTCAGGGGATTTGCTCACTAATTTTTGTCACTTCCCTGTGCAATATTGGGTTTCTTTATCATTTCCTTATTTTTCAAAAACATGGAAATGGTAGACTTCGCAATATCACACTGTAAGGTGAAATCAGACACTCGAACACAATTATTGAACTTCTCAATAATTTATTTTTTGGACTCTGTAGTTGTTCTCACTGTTTTTCTTTTCTCCTTCCTTGTATCACTACCTTCGTTGTATGATCAATGACAAAAAAGGAAATAAAGAGCATAATCATAAAAATTTCTCAACATGTGTGATCCTGTTAATGTCCTTACTTGACCTGATGCTTGTTGGATAGTCTAGAGTTGGTCGGCTGAGATGCCCGTTTCGAGCACATCATGACGCTTGGCCGTGCTTGACTCGGGTGTCCCAGCTCTGAATTTTCTTTTGTATAACGCAACATTTTTGACATAAATTTTTGGTCAACTACCAAATTGTTCAAGTGTCGCGTCGTTCGTCTACCGAGGCATCACTGTATTTGAGTGAGCAGTAACTTACAAGCTGATGCACGCATCCTGTATTTCCCTACAGCTTAATTAATACCCTTTCATATGATTCGAATTCAAGAATCATAACATAATCTGAGCTCTAGTGAGTTACGTCTTACACAATTAGTATCTGTATTGCAATGCCAAAGTGTAGAAAAATATAATTCTTTACATTTCAGTGAGCTCAATGTATGTGATATAAATGATCACCATCATTTACTTGCCGTTGGTACATCTGATGGAAAAATTGAATGCTGGGATCCCAGATCACGACAAAGAGTTGGTATTCTTGATTGCGCAATGTCTGCTGCTGAAGAAAACAAAAGGTAATGTTAAAATATCGTTACCCTATCCCTAGAGCTATAGTTATTGGATTATGTAAAAATTGACCATCTCAAACCTATGAAAGTATAGGTGACAATGGAATAGATATATGTCATAAGCAGAAATTGAAAAAAAATAGACTTCATTCAACTGTGACTTGGAAAATATAGAAAATAAAGCAAAACAATGCTTGTCTGAACTATTCTACAATACTAAATTTTATTTCTGTCAATTTACTAAGAGAAACATGAGAAAGAAATGTATAAATATATATACATGGAGGTTCCCGTTCAAGCAATGATATTAAATTTATCAAATTGGACCATGGCAATGGAAGACGCTTCTATCTAACAATTTGAACTTGTTTCATTTGAAAATTGCATATTAATTTTTTTTAACATCTTATTATGCCTTAAGCATTTTGTTTTGCTTAAAAGGGATTTAATTTTATCATTATTTTCAACAGTATCAGCGCTTGTCCTGAAGTAACTGCACTTAAATTCAAAGGTCCTCTCCACATGTCTGTTGGTATGAGTAACGGACAGGTGAGAATATCTTTTGCGGCATTTTTCATGTTGACCATTGTCTGCTTGTCTAAAATATGTTTTTCATTTTAATGGAAATCCTTTCAAGTTGCTTCTGAATTTTTATTCAAAAAGTTAATAAACTTCCAATTCGGTATAAATTTCTATATCACATTTGGGGTTACCAGTTACTCATCCCATCAGACCATATTTTTTGATTGATTCGATTGATGTAGATCAAAGAGAGGTGTGCAACCTTTATTACAGGAGGACCAGATACAAAAACATTTTTATTCAACATAGGCTTTCTATGAATTGCATTTACAAAAATTTGGGTTAGAGATTTTATGACATCGGTTGTTCGCTGTGCACAAGCTAGCTTTTAGGGAATCGTAACATGATAGGCATAGATTATAAATTGGACTCGTGTGTAGACTTTGCAACGCAATGGATTGGAATTACTCGCATGTACTAGATTAAACTACATTCAAAATTTGTTTTACGGGCTGCACACTATTCAAAATTGGCACTTCTCCATGGGCCACACACTTTCCGTGTGGGCTGCATTTGCCCCGCAGGCCGCATGTTGCACACAATGATGTAGATTATGGAATATGTGTATTTTTTTTTTTGATTTGGTGTTTTATATTTCTGTACAATTTGTCTAGATTCTGATGTATGATATTCGTGCTAACAAACCATATTCAACTAAAGATCATTATTATGATTTACCGATTCATTCTATCGCATTCAACGATGAAAACGGTCTTGTTATTTCATCTGATCAACGATGTGTGAAGTTGTGGGACGAAAAAACGGTAAGTATCAATGAAATGAGGTATTTCCTCTGTAATCTGCCAACTTTGTATTGTTTCTTGAATGGAAAAGAGTGTTCTACAATCTTCACTATAGTAACACATGCTATTTTGGTCTCACGGATCTTTTTTTATTTGTGTTCGAAAATTAAAAACGAGAATAATTACTATATTTTTCTTATTAAACAGAATTTACATAGGCATGTTGCAATGCTGCATAGGCTGATTTTTGTGCAAAAACACATCTCAAGCAATATGTTTCTATTAATTATCATTTTCAAACTACTTTTGTTATTTTTCAATTTGTTGAAGGGTTCCAATTTATTTGACAATTTAATTTCAAACTGATTTTTTCCTTCGAATGTTATAAATGATTTCGAACAAGCCGAACAAAAAAAACAAAAAATGTACACAGCGTTTCTACTTGGGACATCTCGTTGGATAATTGTTCCTGCTTGTGACATAAAAAGTCTATTTTTCCATGTCGTCATGTCATTTTGTTTTTGTTTAATATTCCAGGGAACAGCTGTAACTGCGTTGGAACCTGAAAATGACATAAACCAATTGCATCTTGTCAACAATTCTGGTTTGATTTTCCTTGCTAGTGAGTGCACGAAAGTTCAGACATATTTTATTCCAGTAAGTTTATTTTTGATTTCATGATTAAACTTTCAAAAGCTCTCATAGTCTAAAATTGGAATAAATGGCCTAACCCTAACCTGGTACACATACCACATTCCGGTGTCCATCATCTTGGTTCACATACTTCGAGAGTACCCTTTCTTTGCCTTAAAGTCTTAAACAATCTTTTACATACCTGGTGTCTTGAGTTAATCTGCTTTGTTTTTGGTATGTCATAGCTGTTTTCCAATGCTGATGGTCTTTGCCTTTTTTTATAGATGCTTGGACCTGCTCCAAAATGGGCTTCATTTCTTGATAATCTCACTGAAGAATTGGAAGAAAATCCAGCTCAAGAAATCTATGATGATTATAAATTTGTTACTGAGAAAGAATTGGAAAATTTAGGTTGGCAAACCTACTTTCGGTGTAATATCGTATTTTGTTTTCAGAAACTTTGATATTGCTCTTTATAGCCGCTTTTTATATATTAATGTAAATATGATGCATAGTTGCATACCAAGTTTTTAGTGATAAATAATTTTCAAATCAACCTGTTGAAGAATGTTTTGAGTGATCTCATTTAGTTATATATATACTCATGTACATTGGGCTAGATCTGACAAACTACGGCCCGTAGGTCAAATCCGGCCTGTTTGAGTAATTTCATCTGGCTAGCCTGATGCTGCCACAATCAAACTCAAACCAAATTTTGAAAATGTATCTTTTTACGCCACATTTACATGGCCCACCAGTGTAGGTGGGCAAATTTTTTGGCCCCTGTTTCAAAAACCCTGCCCACTCTCGGGCTAGATGCATTGTCACTTTTGTCAGAAAATCATCACCATTGCAACAACTTCAACTATTTCTCTATTTATTAGGCATAACTAGCTAGCAAGGTATTGTCACAAAAGCTTCATGAGCAACCTACATAAAAATTACCATGATATGATAATTGCCCTTGGATAGAGAATTTTCACAGTTGATTGGTACAAAATCTATTGATAAGATATGATTGATATGATTTTTACTGAAACTAAATTTTCAGGTTTATCAAATTTAATCGGTTCTTCGTTATTACGAGCATACATGCACGGATATTTTATGGACATACGACTTTATCACAAAGCTAAAGCGATAGCAAATCCATTTGCCTACAATGAATACAGACAAAAGAAAATCCAAGAAAAAATGGAAGAAACTAGAGCAAACAGAGTACAAATCAAGGTATGATAAATCACTTCTTTAATTGGAAATGAAGGATTTATATTTATTTAATCTATTTTATTCCTTGCTGATTATTGGGTTGGAATGAATGTGTAACTTGATTATGTAGACCTGTGGTTGGCAAACTGTGGCCCGTTGACCACATGCGACTCGCAAAAAAATTTTTTGTAGCCCTTGACCTCAAACGACATCATCTTTAATGCATAAAACAACATGAATATTTTGTCATCTGCGCAAGGATATTTGTTGTAAAAATGAATTTTGTACAATGTTTGTTTCGGGATAATTAGTCGAACATGCCTTTTGTTAGTTGTAATTAACACACGTGCATCTTAGTTCGAAGTTTATTGTATTGTTTGTTCAGCGGCGGCCTGCATTTGATATGACTCGCTCTTCACTGGAAATGTGTAGGTTTGGCCCAGAAGTTCTCAAAGTTTGCCAACCACTGATGTGGACATTCACATTTTGGAATTTTCTACTCAATTTATAACACTCTGAGACTTAGAGCATGGCTTGAGCGTTTACAATATCAGTGGGAATATACCAATATTTATTTGTTACTTGTTCATTTAAACTTTTAAAGTAAAAGTTAATTTACTCAATATTCCTGAATAAAGTTATTCTAATTATATGACTCTTCTATGGACATGGTTGATTTTGTATTTTATGGTACGGAAACAGTATTTAGTATAACATAACTTTGCAAACTAATCTTTCATTCTTACAGAAATTACCAAAAGTTAACAAAGGACTAGCAGAACGATTGTTACATCATACTGAAGACACCGAATTGAAAAGTGGGAAAAGAAAAAAACAAAAGGTAAAATTTACCAATTTTTGATGGCGTTCACTTTATTTCATGAACCTTTTTTAAAATGTTTTTCTACATTTTCAGAGAGAAGCGGAAGGTCTTCTTGCCGATTCACGGTTTAAAGCAATGTTTGAAAATCCAGAGTTTGAAATCAACGAGGAATCAGAAGAATTTCAACTTCTTAATCCTGTTGTTACAAAACAATTGGAAAAAAATCGGAAGAAATCAGAAAAAGTCAAAGTGCAAAGGGAGCATAGCAGTAGTGAAGATGTATGCATGTTTATATGCAGATTTTCATTATGGTGTAGAATTTACAATGTTTCAAACATTTTAGATTTTATTTTACATTCTATCCTTGTTTGTCAGTCTACAAGAAATTGTCTATTATGAATCTGGGAGTAATTTTGAATGTTTTGTTTCTATTTGTCGAATAATTACCTTTAATTCGTGGACTATATGAGTTGCAAACAATTCAATATTAAAGGAAAAGCACCATGGTAATAAGACCATAGACTTCCGTTTCAGGCAACTGGAAGAGTCATTCATTCAAAGCCCTGTCAGTTTCATTGTAAATCTTTTCCTGAATGTGCAGTCTTCGTTTGAACCATCATTTCGTCAAACTTGATATGAAAACTCATCTTGAATTTTCTATAAATTTTTTTACAGAGTGAAGTTGAAGGCAAAGGCTCGGATGAATCGTCATCGGAAGATGATGACAAAAGCAAATGGATAAAAGACGTCAAATCTGTAAGCTTTGCTTTTTGGAACATGTCCGCAGCATTTGTGTTGATCTTTATACGATTTTCTCAAAAGGTTTCTAACATCTAAACCAAATTAAATATGGAATCACTATTTTGCTAATTAGTGGTCATATACAACAGTCATTTCTATTTTAAATTCCATGGCTTTATTCATTTATATTTTAGGTTCACAAGAAGTTATACAGAAAAACATTAGCCGACCGAGAAGAGAGATCCAAAGCTGATGCACAGATCAAACTAGAACCTCAATTATATCAAATAAAATCAGGAATTGATTTCAGCACAATGAAAGACCTTGATAAAATGAATAGGGAAAAACGGAAAGAACAGAGAAAGACTTTAAAGTTTGTTTAAAAATATTTGTTTCAGAATTTTATTTACCCGTTTTCTTCGCATATGAGCCGAGTTTGAAACTCAAAAAAAGTTGCTAAACTAAGGGGTCAGCTTATACACTCATAACTCTGATCGCACTCAAACAAAATGAAAATTATGCTAACTCCAACAGCTACAATTCGAACCATGCTAAGTTCTCACGATGAGAGCGTGCATACACATACTCAGAGCAGCGCTTGGTACACCATGATAGTGATAACTGTCTGTGATTGGTTGTCATACACATGACTCACATATAATTTTATCCAAATAAACTTAATGTTTATGTATTTTCCCAGTTAAATTTTTTTTATATATACCAGACTACCAGTGTTTATGTTTTACCTTACACCACAGAGTATTACACCTAATTTTTAGAGCTACTCTTGAAGATAGAATAAAAGATACAGAAGGCAGTTTTGTGTCCTATAAAAAATCAAATGCAGTTGGATCAAAAGAAGCTACCTTTAAAATACAAAGAGTGAGTCTCGTTCTTTTGTATTCTTTGAAAGCACCAATGACAGATAAATAATGATTTTTTTTGTGACCCAACGTTTCAATATCTATAAGTAAGTGTATTCCAATGGGTTGCTTTTTGGGTCCGCAGACCACTATGGGGTCCGTGATGACTGCCAAAGAAAGAATCTCGATATTTAATGTTTGATTTTAATCAAAAAGCCATTGCATCTTTTTGGTTGAACGTTGCGGACGTATATCCATTGCTGTCAGAAACGCAATTAAAATTTCATTGCCTTCTGCACCGACCTGCATGTGTGAGGCATCATTTTCAGCTCTTACCAATTTGATGACAAAATACGAGACTTGCCGCAGAGTCGGATCTACGAGTTTGCTTGTCACGGATTGCTCCTAGAATTTATAAATTGTGAAGCAACCTCATCCATCACATTAATGTCATTTGTGTTGTTGTGTTGTGAATGAAACATTATCCTTCCTCGTTGGCTAGGCACATAAATTGATACAACGTAGGATGGGAGTCCGTCGAAAATAAGATTTACAAACAAGGGTCCGCGGCCCAAAAAGTTTAGAAAACCCTGGTCTAAACCACTAGGTTGAAATGGAAAATGTCCACGAGGTGTTATTTTGCAAGCGCACAAGGTTTAAACTAACAATTATGTATATGTTAGATTGGAATGCTAGCAAAGTTTGATTGTCTAGGACAAACTTGCAACAAAACAATTCATTCAGCAAGAAACTTTTTCGAGCTTTGTTTACAAAAACAAGTTATCTTAGCTTCTTCAAACACTATTTCCTTGTCACTATGCAATGCCAGATATATACAAGAAAATATAATTATTGTTAATAATCTACAAATACATCAACAAAATTAAATTTGCCAGATATTTTCAAATTACTGAGTTTCTTTTCATAATATATTGGTAAATATTTGAAGACACACTGTGATAGTCGTGTCATTTTGTGATTGAAAATTACTTGTGTTAAATACTCAAAGGTTACAAATATTCAAGGTTGCTTATTTGTGTTATCCCATAATTCCCATAATATTTATTATTAAAATTTATTTTCCTACTTTTACTTATTTATTCTTTACTTTCATAATTTCTAGTGTGAAAAAGAATCAAAACGAAAAGAAGAACAAAGAAAACATAGGGAAGAAAGGTTGAAACTCCGAAGAACTGCCAAACATTTATCGAGAATAAAAGCTAAATCTGGTTTCGGTTCCAATAAATGATAAAATTTATACAAAAATGTACTGTTTTTATACAATTAGTACCAGCTAGATCAGGGAAGGGCAAGGGTTTTGAAACAAATCAAAAGTGGAAAACAATAAACCTTGTGATAAAACTAAATTTAATCGCAATCTCAACAAATTCCTTGGGATATTTTTATGAAACTTTAGTTTTACCTTGGTTGTGGCAGCATTGGCGGGTCAGATTGAATTACCCAACAGGCCGGATTTGGTACACAGGCCGTAGTTTTCCCATGTCAGACCTAGATAGTCGAGCTCGAAAATGAAACGTACAATTAGAAGTATTAGATTTTAGTCAATTATTTTTGAAAGGCAATATATTTTAGCTGACTGTTAATTGGTGCTATATGTGTTTGATAAGTACATCATCACATTTTTTAGATATTCAATCAAAAACTAATGAATTGCTGGTTTTCTACTGAGCTCTTAAAAATCTACATGACATAAATACTTTCATCAATATGTTGCAAACCTTGTTGACGAATGGCTTTTGAGCTGCAGTTATAATGAACTCAGATATTAGTTTCTTTTCTGAGCTTTCTAAAATTGAGGCATTTAATTGTTGTTCGTACACGGGCCTAAGATAAGTTTACTATTCCATCAAATGTTTTTGACATCCATTTGGTAAGGGCATGTCAACTCCTAAGACACCGGAAATGAAGCCTCTTAGAGAATCGTCTTACTTCCTGGAAAATATTGAGAAGTGTTTTGATTGTTTCCTCTGTTTTCTAAGAAGAATAAATTGTTTCGAAAAGTGATTTGGTCAAAGTCCTTCTGTGGGACTAAAGCAAGGGATAACAAACGATATAGCTTGAATATCGCACAGTTCACAAACTGTTTTCAATTATCTACGTTCTGTGATTTTGCCATTTTTCTTCTGAATTCATTTTGATGTTGATATGATGAAGCAGATGAATAAAATGGTGAAGATTTGTCTGGTGTTGCTTGGATATTTGATGGTAAGACATGTTTTATGATATTTATCATTGGAGAATATGAATAAACTGGATGGAAGTGTACTTTGAATTTTAAAAGTATCATGTTTCATGGTGCCTGTGCTTCAATGGTTTGAAGTTCCATTGCTATGAATTCTGAGCTTTAGTAATTTGCTTTAAATATCTTTTGTGCTGACCTGATAGTCGTTCATTCATTTGATTGAACTATTATGTGATTCGGACTTCTGGCTCAAAGTGTGATAATCTACTGAAATTGAAAATATTCTGATTTAAAGTATATATACGGCTTCATTTTTTCATGCAACAACAACATACAAAATTGTATCCGAACCAATTTCTCAAGTTTATTTAGGTCAAAACTGTAGGCGCAGTTGACTTTTCTAATACAACAACAATAAGCAACAAAGAAGGATCCTCAGCTGAAAGTAATGTAGCTCTTCCAACACCCCCGTATCCAACCACCAGTGATCCCAACAGCGTTCACATTTATCATTTCTCGGATCTACTTGATCGGATGCCTGACTATGACTATTATCTGTTGAATCCAGGCGATGTGTCTCGAGACGGTATTCAATTTTGTTTTTGTCCTATTTTCCATGATAAAGTACTTGAAAAAATGGCAGAATTGTTTTTTTGCCTGCGACTAATCATGTTACTTATTCTATTAGTCACAAATTTAGCATGACTTTGCCTCAAAAATATTACCAGTCATTTCTAAGAATGTTTCGAAATTCATAAGTTTTTTACTATGGTAATTTCGTTTCGAAAATGGAATGTCGTTTCAGTCAATTCTTCCTTGTTCAGATCAATTCTTCTTTATTGCATTACTTTTGCGAACTAAAAAAAGTTTTATCAGTATACAAAACCATATTAAGACAATTTATCCAAAATAAATACATTTTCTGGAACTGTCCGCTTTAAACAGTTTTGTTGTATTGGACTGAAGATGATAAATTTAAATGATTTTAGTAAGAAAATGATCTGTGTACTGTATATTATTCTATTTAGAAGAAAACTTTCATGACAATACGTTTATGTTTTGGGGATGCTTCAAAAAATCAAATGTTATTATGAAAGGAAAGAGGGCCAATTCCAATTCACAAAATGGGAAGTCGAATATCGGAAAGTGCAGGGTAAGGATATCTTCATTTGACATTCGCATCAAAATTTAGGTAAACATTCATAATTCATTAAGAATTAATATTAGCGCTGTATGTTAAAATATATTTTGTACACTGTTATTGTTGTTTCTTTTTACAGACAATATGTTCTTTAAATGGGAAATGCCAGATGTGGTCATTCAATCACAGGGACACAGATGACTCAGATTGTTACTACAAGATGAAAACTGACAATTTGAATGAATTGAAAGTTGTTTCTTCCCAAGATGCTCGCCTTGAATTCAGAACCTGCCACTCTGGTAATATATTCAGTTTAAAAATCGAATTCTGAACTTCTGAATTCTGATGTTGTTGCTTGAGATGTCTTTTAATTCTTTTTATTAATTCATCAATCTTTCCCACTGATAATGATTTACATATTTATCCTGGAGAAGGGAAAAGCCAAATTGGATTTAATGATGGAGGAAGCCATAACTGACCAGCGGTTACGTGAACCACCTTATGGTGGCGAGGAGTCCAACAATCCTCTCTCATATAATTATCGTTACAGAAACTGTGAACCCACACAGGGTAATTGGAGGTGGGGTGGAAAGCGTATTCCTAACGCTTAGCAAGATGCCTCACACCACTAAGTTATTTCCAAACTTTCATTATTCGTGCCCCCTTCCAAGGGCTTTCTCCATCTCCATGACCCCATGCTTTTCTATAATACCACCTAGTTTTGTTTTTAACAGGTTTCGAACAGTTATAGTATTCACAGTGTTTGATAATAAAATGCCAGCAAACAAAAGTACAAGAATATATTTGTTACAGTCAAAGAACTAGACAAATTGCAGCCAATTTACTTTAAATAATTATCGATCGAAAATTGATGGTTTTCGCTTGTGTTCCCCTGAGAACCACTCCATGGCCCCATAAGAGAGTTTGGGAGGCACAGTTTGAAAAACGCTGATATTCCCTCAAAATAAGGTTTGGCCAATATTAATCTTTTCAATGTATTGACTATTTCAGTGCATTTTCATTGCAATTTGCATCTGATTAAAATTTGCTTCCCGGCTTTGCTGTATTTCACAATGGATAGTCAATTTTTTAAATTGATGATAATTTTATTCTGCCCTAGGTTATGTAGGTTGCTATATTGGAATTAGAAACAGGGGAAATGCTGAATTTGTTACAACAGCCAATGGAGTCCATTCATGCATCAACAAATGTGAGCAAATGGAATACCCTTATGCTATATTTAAGGTAATTTTTTACATTTCAAGAAATTTTATTTTTAACTATTAGTAGTGGATTCATACTGCCAATGACTGGGTATCTTGTCTGATTTATAATGATAGACAAAGTTGAAGAATATAGTTTTGAACTATTTCATTTTACTCTCCTAATTGAGAAAAGAATGTTTGTGATTGCAAACATTGGTTTTCAATGACGTCGAGATTCCCAGTGTGTTTTCATGCTGTTATAAAGCGGAACAAGCATGGTGTCACAGAAATTATTTTTACGTTTGCATTGTTTATCCTATGTTATGCTCAAAACTTTTGAATTTAATTAACGCCATCTTGCATCATATCAAGTTACAGTTATTACAAAATATTTCGCAATAAATTCTGGATGAATTCCTTCATTAATGAAGTGCCATTTCATTAGGATTCCAAGTATTGTGAGTGTGCAAATCTGTTTCCTGATCTACAAATAACTGATAAAAATGTGAAATGCATTTTACCATCGAAAAGTTCTGACAGATTTGCAGTTTACAAAACAGGTGAATAAATGTTATGAAAGAACTTGGATTATAATTTCAGTTATTATTTCACATGCCTTGGTTAGGATGAATTTGAAAAAGGAATGATTGTATCGCTCCGTCTGATATATACTTGAAGAACATTGTTCCAGTTGCTTGAATTTTATTGTATTGATGACTTTTTAATTCTTTTTGACCAAATAATAATCCAGTCAGTTTGACGGCATTTTATCAAACTTGGCTTGGTGAACAACAACTTCAGTTTAACACATGGATTATTTCACCCATCAGCTTCAATCATTTTGCCATATTGGATTGTTTCTTTTGAGAATGGACGAGTTTTAATTTAAACATGTTCAAATTTCTATTCCTATCCAAATTTATTGCATGTCCCAGTTCAACCTATTTTTGAATTATATTTCTTTTCAGGTTCTGAATTTGCAGACACTACATTATGTATTATTGGTTCAAATATGGATTATGAGACAGAAAATTCAATTTATCATACAGGTTCGTGAGGTTTTGCAAATTTTAGATATATGATCGATATGATCTGTAGTTAGTTATGATGATTCAGTAAATACTGAAGTAGCAATTTTTCAAGAAACAACATGCTAGCTAGTTCAGTTGTCCTGAACTTTTAAAATCGTGCCTTTCTCGCGTCACATCTCAGAAATAACTAGCTAACAATAAGCTGCAAATAACAGATATTAAAGCGAAATGTAGGTTTTATGCAAAAAACACATTGAAAATACGTGGATTGAACATGAATGATGAAATAAATGTAAAGTTTTGAAATGTTAATATCCAAAATAAGGCAGACAAGATCAAATCTTTTCAAAAAATCAACAAATGATTTTTTTTAAAATTAGCTCCCTGCTTCCCCAAAAAATTATCTACACCCTCCTGGTGAGACGCGTCCCACTGTTTAAGAAACACTGTACGCTGTGCTTTCAATGCAACAAAAGGTTTTGTTTCGCAATGAATAAATTCAAAATGTATCATACGAGTAGAAATTTTGCTGTCGGAGTCATGAATACTAAGATAGTTTAATTAATCATCACAATGATGTAATTTTTCTATAATAATATTCCAGGTATTAGCTCTATTCAAAAATGCAAAAAGTTGTGCATGAATTTTCAAGATCATGGCAAAACATGTCTTATGTGGTGGTATAATATGACTCATTGCAAAATTATTCTGAAAACGGTTCACAAAGGTTTTTTTGTAAAAAGTTCGAACTCATTCATCGGATTTGCAACTTGTGGGAAAGAGGGTGAGTCCGTTTTATAAAATTTTTAAACCAAGATGATAACACTGTCTTAATAGAAAGGAATATTCAAAAGCGAGTTTTTGACTAATCGACCTTCTGAGCGTTAGGCATCAGATTACGTAAATGAATCAAAACAGTTTGAAAATGAGCAAATGAAACTGCACCTATCTAGATTTTTTTATATTGTTCTTTATTGAGATATTTTAAGCATTAGTTTTAAATAAATTCTAGTACATCAATATATATCTTATACACAAAACCTATACGGTATTGTTCCCCAAGTTTTTTTCATTATGGTGGTTTCTCATAACAAATGGGTTTTTGTCTGGCAAGCATACTACTTCTTGTGCCTAAAGTTTGTACTTATGTCTCTTCAAATATTGACAATGCATTTATTCAATGCTTTAATTTAATTGGATGCTTGATTTCTTATAGATAATGTGAATAATGTAAATTGTGCTGATGATACGAGCAATGACAATTCTGCTGAAGAAAGGAATACAAAAATTGCGTTTGCCGCAGTATTTTGTGCAGTTGTGATTTTTCTGTTATTGGCAATTGCATATGTTTGTGGATGCCTAAGGTCAGTTTAGATCGATTAATTTTCCTTTTATGTTTTTTTTTGGATATTCATAACATTCTATATTGTTATATTCCTAACTTAGTAGACTTAAATCAATGTAACTACATTTCATTTTTTGTTTTGAATTTGCCAAATTTAACCATATACCGTACATGATCCAGCATCAGATCATGTTTGCTGATATACTTTAGATAACCAGAGGATATTTCTCTATAGTTTTCAGTCCGACCTGTAATGTTTCTCATTTTTATATTATCAGAAATCAAACCAAAATGCTTATTTCAGTATGCCTGCAGCACCTCATTATCTGATTATCTGTCAAGCAAGTTACATTTTAGCATAGAATACAAAAAGAAGTCATTTTAATTTTACTGCCACTAATGAAAGCTAACGCTTCAGGACGGCTATAGTTGTTAGCATCTCACATTCCATATGTAATTATCTTTATATATCAATTTAGGCCCTGAGATAACGATGTTTTATTTTAGACTCTCAAAAGTTAACTCAAAATCACAAGAATCAAGCAAGGATTTCTCAAACAGTAATACAATGCAAAATGATATTCATTACGTCAAGAATCAGAAACATGGTAGGTCTGAGGGTATAAAATATATTGAATATTCTGTTCAAAGTTAACTCGTAACATAAACATATCTCATTTCAAATGAATGCAGAACTTCATTTATTCAGTGTTGGTGGAATGTGATTTTATCACGACAATATTGTGAACCATATCTGCTTCCAATCTTCGCCTACTATTGAGATAAAACATCATTCCAATGTTGGAGAAACACTGCCACAGCGGTTGCATGTGATAGTTGGTATTATTCTCGATAGATAACGGCTCACTTATTGAGTGCTAAGCAATCTGTGGCTCGCCTGCAACTGGTGTTGTCATGCCAAACCTTGCTGCTTGTTTCATCCCTGAAAGTAGCCTATCAATCACTAGAGTTAAAAAAAATGATGTATTGACGCCAGACATTATAGAAACAAATATATGAAATTTGCAGGTTTAGTTGAGATACCAATATGTTGTATGTTTCGCTTACTAAAATTTGGACATCACCAATTTTTTTTTCTTCAGAATTTGCTGGTGTGAATGGAAAGAAACTTAAAATACAGAAACCTAAAAGAAGATATGTCAATGTATTTTCAAAACCCGGCATTTCATTTATCACAGCACACAATAACGACCCCAAAAAACAATATCCTGATGGTCAAGGTAATTGTAGATTAAAAAAAATTATTATTTTAGAATATTTCTTATTATGGAGAACATGCTCTTAAAATAAAATTGAATCCAGGGTTTACTATATATGGCTGGTGACTTCTGCTCCGATTATTTATCCAAGCTCATGATGTGGCTATATCTGAAAAAGATACTATATTTTGGAATTATGTTCTCTCACAATTGAAAAAATGATAAAATGTTTGAGTTTCAGAGAATTTATTTACACTTTTGTGATCAGGTCCTAGACAGTGGTGGGATTAAGCTGGTTTGCACCGGTTCTATAGAACCGTCTCACGGAATTTTATGAGATCAGCGAACCAGTTAGCATTACTGGTTACTGTCAATTATTTTTTGTAATAGAACCGGATGAAAAATATGTCTTTTGTGATGAAACCAGCTGACAAAAAAATTGGGGGCACCTGAAGTATGCGAACCAAGATGGCGGACATCGGAGTGTAATATGTGTACTAGGTTAGGGTTAGGCCATAATTTTAGGTACAAATACTACGAGAGGCACTTGGCTAGTTTTCGAACTCATAGTAGGACTAAAATAAGAGAAATTGGAATAAAATTATGGCCTAACCCAACCTGTTACCCATGCTACGTTTCGATGTCCGCCATCTTGGTTCGCATACTTCAGGAGCACCAGCAAAATTGAATCCCACCACTGGTCATAAATATTGAAAATAAATCTGAAGCCTACATCAGTCAGTGTTATGAATTTGACAAGAAGTTTTTCTTTTTCTATATAAATTGCCTGTCAAAATCTGCGTAATGTTGGTATTAACAGTGTCATTGCCCACTTTGTTATATAGGAAAAAGAAAGTCATACTTTACACTTTTTGTTGGAATTGCAAGGCTAAATTAGGCATTTTGGACAGAAAACTAAGATTTAGGTATGAATGCCGTAGTCAGAAAACCAACAATTCTACCAGCTCCAACCCACCACTTCACGCAAATCCCTAGTTTGGAATTAAAATAAAAGTAAATTCTTAATTTTGGGATTTCGGTAATTTGTCTAATCTAATTAAAGAGTTGGGTATTAGGTTCATGTTATTATTCATCACTGATACAGTCTGTTACTGTGAACATCTTGTGATACTGAGGTGGTGATTTTTTTTGAATGTGCAGGCACTGAATTAACCAGTTTGACCCAGAAAAATAGCAATGCTGCTGGATGCGCACACGAAACGGAATATGTTACATTGGAAACTTACAATGAGATGAAGAATAATAACAACTACATAAAACCCGAAACAACAGCCAAGTGACTGGATTAAATTAAAATACACTGCCCGACCAATACTCTACTAAAGTCAATATATTGAAATGATTTTCATCTTTTTGTTGAAAAAAAAACTGCAATCCCTCATAATTTCATGGCGTAGAAAAGAGTAAATTTTTTAAATTTCCAATCTGGTTATATTCCTTCAGAACCTGGATATTTTAATGGGAAATGAAATTCCACTTAGATATTCGCCCAGTCGCAATGACGTGGGAACGTTTCTTATTATCTGGCAACTGAACACACGAGGTCAAAACATACTTTTCGACATTTTATGTTCATTATCTCTTGGTGCTTCTTCTTGTGTATACTTAATGTACATAATTTCATGATTTGTTCTGAACAAGGTGATTTATGAATGCAAATAAACTTTAATGAAAAACATAATTGTGTCAGTTTTAAATGGGAGAATTATACATTTTCAATTTGAGAAGAACGCCAAACATATTGGCTGTTCGGACTGTCTGAGTAAGCAAAAAAATATCGGGTTATCGTTAAGTCGATCGCGAATAGTGCAAAATAGTGTTGAGAAAGACGTTACAAATTTGTCTCTCACTCAGCAGGGTTGTTGGGGCGCAACATTTTTGAGACACCCGTCGAGTTAGACCACATCCCGCGCCAAGGCTGTCGGTGGTAAAGTCGCATAAATTTGTTACAACCGATAGAATGATCGTACACAAGGATTTTGAGAAGAAGGAAATCATCCAATTATACTGAGCGAGGCAAGTCATGGAAGTTTGAACGATTAGGAATTTTAGTTAGGTATTAATTTTAACGTTAGTGACTTTAGCAAATTAACTAGTGGAGTTTGTATTAAAGATCCGTTTGACCACCTCGTAGACGGGTATTCACAGTTTCAACGGGATTACTTGAAGCAAAAGCACTCCCGCTGAGAAAAATAAGATCTGGAATTTTGAAGTTGGTCTTAGCTATTCACGTGGTTATAATCATGGAGTGTTGGACAATATGCACTAATAGAGAGAATATAAGTTAGAGAAACTCAGTTAAATGAAATAGCAATACATTTAACACTGGCTTTTATAATAATGAATAGTGAAAATTAGATTTTTCACGGGTATGCTGACGACATCAGTAATGCTGGAGCGTTATTAAATGTAAATATGCAGGTTGTTTAAAACATATTTATTTTTGAAACAATGTTACAAAAATGAATTGAAACAAAATTGACATTAAGTTGGTAGGCACCTAGAGATGCACATCATATAAAATTGTGAATTGTTATAATAGAGTATTATTTTAAGTGTTCTGTCAAGTGTGGACTGAAAATTAACCATATCACTTCAGAAGAAATCTAAATGAAAAAACTTAACATCAAGTGCGATGAGTATGATGGTATGTGTGCGAAAATACTATATATATATCGTAAAGACATCGCCTAGCTATTAAAATATAATAAGATATTAACGGTTCAGAGCATATTTAATGTTATTCAATGATTCATTTTTCGAATTTTCTTAGTCCTATAAAATTCTTTCTAGAGTACCAATGAAAATTATCCGATTTCGGTCACAATATATCGAATGAACTCAGCAAAACGATGTCACTGATGACTTGATAGTCTTTCGATAGTCTTTTTCAGTTGCAGCTGGAATATTTCATGTCTTTTGAACTATTTGTTTGTTTTTGTTAAATGTTCAGTTTGGATAGGTAAAACGTACATCATTGCTAAGTGTATATATCCCCGTACTCAACAGAGACCTCTATTTTGAATTTATCTCTTGATCCCTCAAGTTGATTCGTGAGGTTGGGGAAATTTTAGTTTCGACTGCCTAGATGGCAACATCAATTTAGTTTGTCAATAGTTCAGCCTGCAATATTTCAATTAAAATAAAAAGTTCTCCCTTTTGTAGCGATTGCACCTCTTGAAAACAACAGAGTGTCGCTGACGGGATGGCGCCAGGGGCGGATTAAGCCCCTTTGGTGCCCTAAGCACTGAAGACTTTGGTGCCCCCTCATGTGTAATTTAATTATAAAAACAATAAACCACATAAGTGTATTATCCATTAAAGATAATCACAACCAACAGTAAATAGAACAACCTTTACGAACATTTTTGGGTTTTCTAACTGTTATATATAGCCGATATATATATCGTCCGTTTACTGCCGATATTATATATATGCAAACACGCAATATCGGGCCGATATATCGGTTGGGCTAATCCTGAGGGAGTGTGACAATAAAGATTCATGCCTCCAGTCTCAAGGTGAATCGAAATACCAAAGAATACAAGTCACAACTGTAGTTTGGAATTTTACCGGTACCTAGTAGTCTACCTCAAAGTGGTTCAAGGTTGCTATGTTGAGGGACCGCAAATACTTCTGAGGAGCTCTCGCGGGCCGCAAGTCGGAGAAAACCCAAAAGTGATCAAAATATCGCGAGTTTACTTACTTTAAATTTAATAAACAACGAGAGTTCACCGTTCTAATCAGACTATTATCATGTTGCATGGGTGGCGTTCTTTTAAAGAAGATATATAAAGCCTTCAGTTATTTTAAAGTTAATTACCGTTGTATTTTGCGCATCTCGCGTTTAATGTCGCTTCAAATTATATTCTTTCGTGACAGATATTACTCACACTATGTGATGGGCAAGGAAATACATTTCCGCCGTGTTCTCTTATGTCACCTTTCTTGCGACACTCATTTCATTACGAATTGTTATATTGAGTAGTTTAAAAACTTGCAGCGTAAGCAAGCTTAGTGACAAATACCAACCAAGTCCGTCCCAGTTGGTATTTCGGGGCCTAACTGAAAAACACTGGATTACGCAGCGTTGAGTCGGCTCTGCGTTTCGTCACTACTGTCACATGGCCGACGCTTGTAAACAGAGGAGTGTTTTTACTAAAATAAAGGCACAAAGCGTTAGAAAAAGGGTTTGAATTTCGGGATCCCAACCCCAGTTGGAATATCTAAAAAAAAAACTCAAAAACGTTACTCCATTAGATGCAAATATACGCTAAAATTGTTCTGTGAGCCGCACGGAATGTATCAGCATGACAGAGTTTGGACCAACCTGGTCTACCTTATCAAAAAACTCCCGACTTTACTGACCAATATATCGTTGAAATGCGATCGTGGAATCGCCACATAGTGTAAATAGTTCATTGGTCCAATTGTTGAAGAGAATAGAAATTTTTTCAAAATAAAAATGCAGCAACAAGGTGAATACTGGAAAGAAAAACAACAACAATTTAAGAAAACGACTCATAGGCCCTTTTCGTGTCCAATAAATAAGTTTCAGTGTTCATTTTTAGTAAAGAAGGTTAATATGATACGTGAAGACAAAAAATAAGTGAACATTTTGAAGTTTGACTCGCCTGGTGAACTCGTAATATTTTAATAAATACCGATAAACTATATAAAATTCTGCTCTAAAATTTCTGTGGTGCCCCTCTTTGCTTGGTGCCCTAAGCACGTGCTTATATTGTTTAATGGTTAATCCGGCGCTGGATGGCGCCCTTAGTCTCTCGCGGCCCTTCATCAATTGCTATGGGTCAATTTTTTCCGTTTTTGTTAGTTTTTTTATTGTATGTGTTTATTGTGTAGGGTTCTTGGTGTTGTTCCCTCAAACTCCACGTGCCGAGACAGCGCTTCCTTTAGGATGTCCGCTTCCGAGTCTCTAATTGTTAAAACGTGTGAAATCTTTGTAGTATATTATAGTCTTTAGTTTAAATGATAACGGTAAAATCGATAGAGATGCAATAAAACAGTAAAATAACTTAACTCAAAAATGAGGCAGAAGCTTGAAGTTGTAGTAGGTGCGTGTCGCGAGAGATCCCCGAGATGAGTGTCAAATCTTTTAGCAGACACAAAAGCCAGAACGTGGCAAGTGCGTCACGGGGTCACATGACGCGAATGACTCGGGCTTAGGTGTCGCTATAATTGCTTCACATTGATTCTTGCATGAAAAAAATATCTGAATCACCAACAACGGATTTCCTCATATTAGGACATGTATGTGGGCTATATCACTATGAAAGTTTTAACATGACATGTGTTACATAAATTTAATACCGTACATTCCTTTATAAACGCCAAATATAACACTAGTCGTCATGATGCTCGTTACCCTTGCGCTACGGTCCTCTAACTCCTGAAACAAAGGAAACGCTTTCGCTAATTATCACGAAATTCCAAGAACGGGTACTCGCGAATACCCCGAATACCACATTGCATTATAAATGCATATTTGCCACGTGTCCCCAGTACGTCCCTGCAATAGAATAGGATTTTCCTATTTATCTCTAGCAGAGGGAGTCTTAATCATATGACGGATTATGGCGTCTCGTCCGGGTCACAAGCCATGTAAAGGAAAAACAGCATTCCTGCACCCAATTGTACGTCAAGAATACATGAGCTTATGATGACCGATAACAAATTGACAACCTTACTTTTACGCTTAGCACGGTGGGTAGACGTCAAGCGTGTGCTGATAGAGCTCCTATTCACACAAACATTGTCTAGCAATAAACTAAAAAAAATCTTGAAGACAGTACTGGGATTTAGTCAGGTATGTCCAACGGTTTTATTTATTGTTATTGTGGTTTTACCATTTTATTACGTCAAATATCGACTCATTGTCAGCGCGGGGTGGTTGTGTTGCTGCCACCGTGTTCTGTTCGGTTGTTTTGTAGATTTAGAGGTTTTGACAGTGGCATGGTTCAGTGGTACGCGTAGTAAAGATATCACAGACAAATGTGCGTAATTGGTACCGTGCCTTCAACCAACCGAACTATACATTTTAAAACACAATATGTTTTTAATTTTTTGGACATACAAATCAGCAACTTGAATATAACTCCATTTATCAGCATGTAGGCTAATAATGAGATGACTAGTCGACAGTTCAGCTGTATCAGTTTTTCGTGAATTCCGAACTTATTTTGCTGAGCGTTTAGATTTGGCGTAAAATGTATAGTTCGGTTTGACAACGTAATATCTAGAATCACTTTATATTTCCATTGCTTCTGAATAACGTTTCGTTTTTTATCAATCCTAGAACTTAGCCTGTTTCAAAACAAGGGCTTGTTTTAAATCGAATCTTGTCTGTATTTATCATTTAAAATACTGTACCCTTTGCATCGCCAGGAAACTATGACAAAACAATGCGTTTCAGCATCTGTGCACGCTGTCGGGATGATATTTTAAAAAAATGTAAGAAAAAAAATTTGCTTTGACTTCCACTCACATCGCCAAGTCGGTACTTTAACCAAAGTCATAGGATTTTAACAAAAACGTTTATTCGAAATATCAGATAGAAGTTTTGATTGAAAAAGACAAGATAAATCATGAAACATATCTCACTGGCCTACTAAACACAGTCCAAATGCAGGTGGATCGGCTTCGTTCGCCAACCGCGTTTGTTCACGTGTTGTGCTTCAGCTTTACAGGGCGCGTACGGGCAAGTCATTGATATCTATGGCGCTTCGAAGGGTATATTTACGATGAGACAAAGATTGCAAGTTTTCACATTAACTTTTTTTTGTTTTAACCTAGTGGTTCCCAAACGTATTCGTTAAATTCCTTCGTTCGCCTATTTTGTAACTCTTTATTCTTCCCTCACTATTCATAAAAACTACTTCAATCTTCAATGGATCGTTAGTTATTGCGCAATTCAGTTTTGTTTAACACAATTCCGTTAATTTTCGGGGCGCACTTAGCAAATCGGCGCGGAGCGCCCTTTGGGATCCGCTATCCTGGGGAAATCAAATTCAGCATCAGAATAAATATATCGGAAAATAAAAAAGTAAAAAAAAAACTTCCAACAATGTTCTTGTCACAATACTTGTACAAAGCTTTAAAACAATTGTTTTGAGACAAATCCCTTTTTTGTATAAATACCTAATTCTGTGTGTATGTATAATCATGCTTTATCGTAATCGAAGTATACTTATTCATCCTTTTTTATAACACAATGGCTATTTGGCTAATTGTCTCATCTTCAACAATAGCTTGGATCGAAGTAAATATGACGCCATTTTTGCTGATCATTGGCTGGCGGGATTTGCTTGAACTGCTAACAATGCAATCATCAATGTGGTTTTTACAAATTGTGAGTCGAATTGTGTTGCATTTTAGGTTCATAAAGAATGTTGAAATACGCATATTTCGCCATATAACGACATGGTTTAGAATTTAGATCAGACGCATATCAGAGTTACCACTGAACCCTTTTAAAAAAGCCATTCCCATGTCGTATACCATGCTGACGAGAAGAATCCCTATTGTATTATGTATTATTTTTAATGTGTACAATATCAACAGTCGACATTCTTTATTTACGTGATTATTTCTCCGCATTACAATTTAAACAGATCGGGTGTCATTAACCGCGTGCCATCTGATATTCGACCTCCATATACGATTATAATACCAATGAATCTATATAAACAGACGGCACAAAAAGAGAGATTCAACATAGAAATAGTTGAAGTTTGGTGGTGTAATTTCAACCTGTCTTTTTGTGAGGATAATTATGGACTCAAGACTGTTTACTTAAAATCTGATATTTTTAAAGAATAGGATGAGTTTGACAGATTGTGGCAATCAAGATTCTATTATGTTGTTATAATCGAAAAGATTAGCTTGTATTAATTAGTTTATCAATTAAGTTTAGATTCGTAGAAAGCCATATTTTATCTTTTTTGTTCTCTTTTTGGCACTCGTAGTTAGTGCATATGTTGTTTAAACATAGCAAACTAATCTGGCTTAAAAATACCTTTATAATAATGTATTATGGAATCGGAATTAGAGGTAAGATCGGGCCCAGCCCGGCCAGACCCAACCCGTGGGTTCTTTGAATTGTCATTGCAAGAGTTTAGTACGATATGTGTCGTGTTGATGAGGCAACTTCCGTTTTTACAGACCACGGTCTCTCGTCTATTAAAAAAAAGTCAGCGATAGAGAAGCCCGTCCCGACACGAACGTAATGATTGACATTTCAGGCCCGACCCGGCCCGAATTTGGGTCGGGTCGGGCTTCAGATCTTAGCTCTAATTGGAATACAGTGACGGTATCAATGCCCAAATTATTTTAAAAAATGACTTATTATAGTGTTGGCATTTGGCTAGTAAAATAAATAAATATCATTTTAAACTGTTTAAGAAAACGTTTCCCGAAGAAGCTTGATCTGCTCCGTTTACTTTATCGCTTAAGGTTAAAAGTTATACTAAAACAGATCGATACTCAATACATGAAATGGTATATTATTCTGGCTACGTCGCATAGTTATCAAAAATTTTAAAAGTTGAATTGCTCAATTCTCACTTTTGGATCAATGTTTATGACGATTTTTTCTATCAAATTTCCGCCAGCCTTTTATATAAGATGATATAAGATATAAGGGTAATATAAAACATAAAACTTTAAGCTTGTATATATTTAGAATTTTGAATAGGGCGAGAGTAAGTTTGATGTACTGTGATATATGATATGCTTACCAATTTTGGAACAATACATTGAAAACGATTTATATTACGAAGCACGAGCACCTGCGATTACGTACGCCTGTTCTGGCCTATCGTGTTGGAGTTTAGTTGAGCTTAGGTTCTAATAACAGAAATGCTTCTTGGTTCCGTCGCTTTTAAGTTTCTTGAAATAGCAATGTTTCAATAAAATTTTTCAGACACTTGTATCAGCGAAGATTCAAGATCATCATAATCTTTTTCGTACCAAAGTCGTGCAGTGTGATTAACAGTAGTTAATTTTCTAGTTTTCTACAACTTATGTAACAATTGTCAGTACATACACTGGAAAAAAAGTAATATTTAGTTGGTAGCTGTATATCTCTGAGTAACAATTCAAGTAACAAGGTGATATAACACAGACAAACAAAACGACATTTTCACCGTTTACCGCTATGTATGAAAAGATATTGTATCGAGCGTGGTCAATAAAATGAGCTAAACGCTGAGTTATTTATGTGACGTTTCTGGTTCTTCATGGTTCTATTCAATTGACTATTTTGTTAATTTACGTGGTGTAGTGTAGACAATACGTAAAGGAATGGTTTGGCGATAATGGTGATATATAACATATACCGTAAATATTGTTTTGAAATAATCTGACGTTTTGTTGAGTTGGAATTGTGGTGTCTAGAATGAAATATAATGCATTTTTTAAATGTTTAAAATAAGCGTTGTTGCCGTTGAATATTTGTGCAACAAAAACTGTTTTGAAGTTGTCACATTAAAATGTCGATATTGATAATGTGTTGAAGCTGGCGGAGCGTAAATCACCCATGTGTAAAGATGCTCTTTCTTGTTGTTTTTTTCTATGCGGTTTTATTCTACTACAAGGTATGCGTATGATGTATCTTTGGCGTAGCGTCACAAGAAGGTTGACAGGCAACTGTTTCATACCATTATTCGTAACGCCGATTGTGACGATTCCATGCATCTGTTTTCAAAGCTTAATTAAATCCGTACGATTTCAGTACACAGCAGGTATATAGGATTTTGTTGAATATTACACAATTGGCCTCTATACCTCAACCAATTCTTATTGACTGGTTGAATTGTTATTCGAACAGCCATATAGGCAAGCAGTTATTTTACCCAAGGTTCTATATGTAGACATCGACCATTGTACCAACATAAACACAATAGCCGTTTTTGATTGTGTAGTTAAATATATTTATGCTGCATAATTTTTAATATTTTAATTACCTTTTCAGATTAAATTAACGTCCAACACTTGGAGAAATTATTTAAAATGCCTCACGCAAAGGATGAAAATGGCGACAAAAAAGCGAAAAAGAAAAAGTATGTGGATTTCATGTTTCATTCAAAAAATGTCCAATGCTTATGATGAAAGAAACTAAATAGAACTTGATGGAATTATTTTTTCTAGTTCACCAATCTTATGATAACAAATAGGCTACCCTGAAGTTAGCGTAGTTCTGTACTTTATTTAGCGCAATAAATGATCTTGTTAAATTACGCTGTTTTGGACTGTTAACAAGCATGAACTTACTGCAAATGAAACGAGTTATTGAGCCACAGCTTAGATTTTTGTATATTCAATTGCGTCCAGACAAGTTGAAACATTATAATGTGGCGTTGGTGATTCTCAAATAGGTAACTATTTTCAGAAAAGACAAAAAGAAAGACGAAACGCAACAGCCGGCTAATACAAAATTGAAAAAGCCGAAAAAGGCAAAAAAAAGTAAGTTGGGTTGAGTAAAATTGATTGATTGTACAATAAGCAAGTAGTCGTTAAAGATTTTCGTTAAAGAAACATACTTGTGCTTGTGTGCAAAAATACATCGCAATCACTCAATCAGGTTCCGTCAGTTAGAAGACGACCATTGTGAACAAACAAAACATGTGATGCAAAACAAAAGAATTTGTTGTAATGTATATATATATATATAAAAGAAGATACATACGACGAAGCTCATATATTGAGTCCATATCATTTATTACATATATACTCTATAATTTTTTGAATAATTAATTTGCTCAAACCAGACCAAACATTTCTTCCAACATTAATTATAGTTTTTTTGTTTTTAATTTTTATTTTATAGATTTTATAACCAAACTGAATAACATGAAACCAAAATGTTCAAAAAATATCAAAATATATGTTTATGATAGAAGTATTGTTTTGCAGGTATTTACATATCCTACTCGCCCGACTCCAGTTTCAATGAAAAGAAATTTGTTGTTGAACTCGTACAGCAAATAAAAGAAAATAACTTAGGAGAAGACATTTGGTACTTATTGATAATATATATATATTGTATATTTGAATATACTTTCGATGCTTGTAATTGCCTATGCCTGAGTGAAAAAAATCCATGGACAAAGTTTTTAAGACCCCATGTGGGTGAATTTCAATTAAAATGAGAGGGTCATAAAGAATTTTAATGTTACCATTGGGTAATATTACTATGGATACTATCGTATGTAAAAAACATTGGCTCGGTTACCGCGTCAGGAATACACCGAATACCCTAGGGCTAGGCATCACACCTCTGATTACCTTGCGCAAATTTACAGGTTCAAATCCCGTGGGGATAGGTATAAGCGAGAAGATTGGATCAAGTAACCGCTGGTAGATTTCGGCTTTCTCTAACATCAAGCCCATGCATTAGTATTCCTAAGCCCGACATGGACTGGCAACCGAACGAGAGGCCGTGTATTACCACTGGGTAAAATGTCTTATGGCTTACCTCTCCCAGGGAAAACTACTAAATTTCTATCTTATGTTGAAAATTTCCTATTTTATTTAAGAATTATATAACAGGTTCGATAAAGACGAAGGAATAGTTAATGATCCGAGTTGGTTGACTTTGCGATTAGAAGCAGTTGATAGATGCCGAGCTGCAATCATACTGATTTCAAGAGATTACATGACATGTCCAGTTTCCGTATATGAAAGCAAGGTAAATAAAATAAATACTTCACGAAATATCAAAACAAAGTTGATACAAGCTTCACTTCATTATGATCGTAAATATTTATCGCCTAGAATCTAGATGAATTCTTCACCTGTATAAATCAATGATAAGACTATACGGAAAGTATTGTCGCCCCCTCTGTTATGCGGATTTAAAGATAGCTGTAAAGGTTCCCGATTCCCAAGAGATCTCATGTTTTTTTATTTTGTATAAGACTCTTGTCGGTTAAAAATGCTGTCAAAGTTCATCATAGAGCTAATTAAAGTTTATGAAATTATGACTATGATTAGAACTTAGCTAAAACGTTATCGTAAGAATCGAAATATTTTCCATTCAAAAATAAACGTTTAATATGTAATGAAATTACTTAAACTCATTCATCTCGCAGATTATTCTTGAACGAATTACCACAGACGAAGTGGCAAAACAACCTCGAGTATTTTGTGTTTTATTGGAACCGATTTCACTGACAAGATCATTCACAGGCAAGTTGTTTTTCTGGTGTAGTACTTGCTGGTTTTATGGTAAACTATAATACAACAATAAGCTGTAATGAAACAAGGATTATTCGCAGCCAATTGTGGTATTCAGACAATTTCGATATTCATGAATAAAATCACCCTGTCTGCTAATTCAGCACTTTGTTCACTTCAAGTTCGTTTGAGGTTTAACGCTTCATTCATTCGTTGATTTATTTTCACTGCTAAGAAAAATCCTACGAACTAGCTTCACCAAAAACATGTCGTTTATTTCCCTTTTTTGTAGAAACTCTGATGTCAGCGCAGGCAGAAGTCGTGGATTTGACTGAATTTTCCAGCTTATCAACAGCAGAGAAATCATCATTTGCGGTTGGAGCTCTTATTGAAAGACTGGAGCAGGTACTATGATCAGATTTAAAACATTCTACTCGAGAAAATACTCTAGGATAATTCTCAGTATTTGTATGAATAAAATTACTGTAAATTTACTTCATTTTCTATTTCAAACTCTGTTGAAAATTTTCACTTTTTTAGAATTTTCATGCGAACTACTTTTGAACATTTTTGTGCTAAATATTGTCCTTGCATGCTACAGCCATATGTTCGTCTCTGCTATATAACATTATTTTATAAAACGATAATTAAAATAAACTTTCAATGCACAAAACGATACACGAATAGCTAATACTACGATTTTAATTTTTCGAAACCTTTGAATCTGCCCCATATGTTACAAATGATTTGATGACTTCTATATTGCCAGGTTGCATCAATGAAAACACCATACGTGCGACCAATTGTACCACCAAGTGATGGTGAATTTACTGGAGCGTATCAAAGTAAACATGTCGTTCATTGGACACAGTATGATGTTAATGAATGGTTATATTCTATTGGAATTAGAGAATTTTACAGGTAAATGCACAAAACTTTACAGACAGTAAATCTAACCTTAATTTTGGTTTCTGTTGAGAAATGTTTAGAATAACCATTGAGGTGTTTTAAATTCTCATGTAGGCATGCTCGTATTGTCAGTTATCATCATGTGAAGCTGTATAAGTTTGTTTCGAATTCCCCACACCTTTTACTGGTAGTTTAAGTCATAGCGGAAAAGTATAAACCGCCCGCCTTATATTTCAGTATGCTTCAATTTTCTGTTCGTATATTCTAGTGTTCTGCGTATATACTACCCATGTGATATTTTACATTGGTTTTGTTTATTGTTAGTTTGCGTTCTGGTAGACCGGAATAACTATAGTTTATTTGTGTTCGTATATTACCGACATGTGTTGTTACAATGCTCTCAAGTCCAGAGGATGATTATAGATTATTTTATAACGTTTTTTTCACTTGCGTGTTCATGTTTTATTGCTCACTAGTTCAGAGACTTAAGCCTCCAATGGAGTATCTTAATTTGTTTTTCTCTCATGCTACAAGGCGAGATTGTCCGTCAAGTAACTAAATGTCTCACGTTTCAAATTTTATTTGGGGTTTCGGCAGCTTTCCTGAACTTTTGTCCTGTGTTTATGTTGTAGTCTATTTTTGTACTATGGAAAAGTTTTAAAATAATTATCTTATCTATCGATCTAAATCAGCTAATTATTCAATTAATTATGTACTAATCAAAATACATTTCTATCCTTGTTTTAGGCAGTCATTTTCCGAACAAGCGGTGGACGGCTATTTGTTGCTCGCGTCGTCTGACTCGGAATTGCAGTGGTCTTTAGGTAAGTTTTTTCCATCTTGTTGATTCGCTATATGATTACGCCGTCTTATCGGCTCACTCAACCCAGAGATTCATTCATTCGTCCACGGATTTTATTTAAATTGAAAATATTTTTAATAATACAACTAGCTTTTTTGATACAAAGTTTGTCCTATTGTACTATTTTATAGTTCATCCTTTCACGAAATTGAGATAATAAACCTAATTTCAGGAATTGATTCAAAAATAATAAGGAAAAAAATCACGTCACAATTGTTTCAAGTATTGGAAAAAGAGCAAAAAATCGACGACAACTGGCATTTACGAGCGCGGGTCACTCGTCCAAAACAAGACCATGTTATATTATTTATGATCCGCAAGACGTCAGACTAGCTACAAATTTGAATTCAGATATAGGCAGGCGAGGTTTCAAGGTAAAAGATAACCTTGTACAGAAATAGTGTTTAGTTATTATAAGCTGATATTTATAACTTTGTGCATATTTTATGCCACGAAATATAAAATTCGGTTAGGTATGATTCGATACCATCCAAATATTTATGGTCCTGACCTACCGGTGCTGCTTTGTCTGCACTCTTTTATAGAAATCGGGAACTTCAACTCGTTTGAAACACGTATCTTGCCAACAGAGGCCAAGTACTAAGATATCAGGTTGAGCATCTCAACTTTAGATATTATTAAATTGATGAATAGTAATAGATGAAACGAGTAATTGCATCCGAGTGTTTCTTTGATTTATAATTTTCTTTCCCATTTTGTCTTGCCTGGAAATAAAATAATATTTGTGTTTGAATATTAACAGGTAATTACTCATGGAAAGTTGGGACAGTCAAGATCTGAATTTCTAAAGCTTAACGGTGGGCTTTTAGCCCAATGCAATCACGTCATATGCATCTTAACAGAATCAGCTGCAGCATCTCCGTTTGTTTTCCACGAAGTTTTATTCTCGTCTTGGCTTGGTGGAGGACGGACCATAGCAACAGCAGCTTTTAAAAATGTATGGGATAAATTGAAAAATCCACTCAAAGCCGCACTGGGTGAGTTGCGTTGAAATTTTTGTCTGGAAGGCAAGTTTGTGTACATAGTAATACTAAGATTTTGGAAATTTTTTTTGTACCTTTTAGCAACCGTGTGTGTGATCAAACAGTACATGCAAAATGTATACCTATCAAATCATGTCCACAAAAAAAAATCACTTAAAAACTAAAAAATAGTCATACGATTCTTAAAACGGAATACGGTAAAGCTAAATACATCAATTCTGTGGAGATGGTTTCGTAAAAATAGAATTTCATGCTAAATAATATATATCACTATCATTTTTTATTAGGGATATGACGCTAGTTACATACTTACTATTCTGGACACGCTACAACTTGTTGACTTTCCCTCTTTCCATAAAAAAAAAATGAACTTTCTAAGCAGTCTCATGATGAGTCATAGTGGTTAGTAACCGATATACCCAGAAGCGCGTACTCGTACACACATTTGTCTCGAAAAATCTATTCTCTGAAATGGTATAAACTGGGCAAATTGTGGGGAAAAGATGCACGAGCTTCAAAACCTACTTGGCTTAAAAATCCCAAATGCACGTTTGTCTAGAAAACCCGATTTGTAGTAAATGTGCTAATAAGAAACTACTCATACAAAACTTAATTTCATATTTTTACTCTCTTAGGTGACTCACCCTCAATTGACTTTGAGACAAAGATGTATTCAGAGTGTCTGGATGTTCTTGAGCATCTGATAAAACCACCAGATAAAATAGCGGGAATTGTATTAGAACAGGTGAGAGTTTGATGCAAAATCGTTTCTTTCAGTCAAGCATTTTTTTTCCTCAAAAATATTATAGGGCAGAGAGGCACGTTGGGCAACAAGGCACTAGCTTAGTTGCCTATTTCAATAATCGTTTGAAATAGTCACTCTTTCTTTGTCACAAGTAGAGAGAGCTAAAGTTAACTCCATCGATCTTCAATGACTGTTACACTTCGCTGATTAGTGTCTTAGCGGCTTTAGCCAATGATGGCCTTTATAATGAGTATAAATCAAACTTGGTACAGGGCTTTTGCAATTTTGCTTTTGTAATGGGGTTGAGATTAATTATGTTTATAAACTGTTACTTTATTTTATTTTCGGTTTCAAGTTTAAAAGTATTATCCAGTCATACAAAAACTTTGCCCATCCCTATTAAAACGCTTTTTTTATCATATCATAACTTATTCAGACTTGGGATTATCGTTAAGACAAACCAGAATTTTTTCTATGAATCGAAATAAGATTCTTAGTCTAAAAAAATGGAACGATATCACTTGAGCGTCCATTTAAATAATTCTGCCTCATTAGTTTTGTTTAATTTTTTTTTTACTTGATAAATATCGTGAGACGATATGGTTATACGAGCTTCATATTTTGTACATATGATCTGTTTTCATATAATTACAGAACCTCTAAACATGTAAATATATATTTAAAAAAAAACTAGAGGCATGGTCTCACGGTCGTAATTTAATAGCACAAAAGCTGCACTCTCAGACATTGGTGGAGAAAATAACACATTTTACATTTGGAAATTGTTATCTGCCACTGCTAAAACAAAATCTCTTCAGAATTATATAACATCAATTCTATTTAAAACGTTATATAGACATACATCGATAGAATGAACGATGGAATCCAGCCATTGAGAGCCTTGTGTGCTCAGAACGCAAATCTGAGAGCTCACACATTGTCTCCATTCGAAGAGGAAACTTTACACGCGAAAGTATTTATAAGTTACCAGTGGGATATGCAAGCAAAGGTGAGAAGTATTTCACTAATTTGTATTCATGAATGCTTTCTTCAAAATTATGCGACTCCTATATTGACGCTGTATGCTTATATAGTACAGAGTGGCCCAAAAACGAAACCCATAAATTTTCTAAATAACTTTACAAAAATGAAAACGAAAAATATTTAATTTCGTTTGCGCTTGAACTTCTGTTTGTTATGATTATACTCCGAGGTTTCAAAAAAAATAAGGTACTTCGTACAAAAGGTATGTTCTCTTCAGAATATGATCCAAATTAGCTCCTTGGCCTTGGAGGCCGACATGCCTGTTCCAACGTCGAGGAGGGCATTTGGAACATAATCTACAATCTAGTCTAGAGGGAACATAACTTTTATGCAATACGTCCTAGATTTCCGAAACGATCATACACAAACAGAAGTTCAAGTGTAGACAAAATTAAAAAAATTACTCTATTTTCTTAGAAATTATTAAGCAATTTATGGGTTCTGTTTGTGGGGACATTAGATTGAATTATTTATTAAACTGTCCCCATCCGACTCATAGCTTTATTAGACTACAACAATACACATTGTACTATCTTTATTTTTGATTATTAATTGAAGAGACGTCAGATCTTTTGTAAAAATAATATATAGAAATCGGAGAAATAAAATATTACTAGAATTTTCCTGACACATGTCTGATGCGACGGTTCAGTAAAATGGGCCCATTCTAATATTGCAGAATTTTAAACGATATATTATCAGTTTCCGAAAATCTGTACTTACAAATTGACACCAACTCAGAAAGTACAAATTGGGAAGAGATCCAGCAGTGGCGCATTTTGGGTCACCACACAAACGCGAGCGACAGGCAGGGCCATTTTCGTACGATGAGAGGCCAATGAGATGAATCTCAACATATTAAAATAAATACGTATACTGTGAATTTCACAGGTACTACACATTGCTGACCACTTTCTTGCACATGATATGCCGTGCTGGGCGGATTTAACAATGTCAACAAGGCCGTCACTGTCACGCATGAGTGTACGCACTACATCGTCATCCGCATCTTATGCCGATCTCATGCAATCGGAAACTTTGAAAACGCATATTCAAAGAAATATGAAGGTATTTGTATAAATTATTTTACATTTACAAGTTACGTCTTCTGTCAATAGGAAACGTGTTGAAATACAGATTTTACTGGATTAAATTGATTTCACAGGAAGCAAGTCTAGTGCTATGTTGTATTACTCCACAATATGCAAATTGCGCAAACTGCGAGCAAGATCTTGCTTTAGCGATGAGTCTACAAAAACCCATTCTTCCTGTAATGCTTCGATGGGTGTCTTGGCCACCAGAGGGTATCAGCGAGCGAGTGAGGCGCATCATGGTCCGTCTTCCAAGACCTGTAGACATGAGTAATGAGAAACTATACAAAGCAAATTTGGGATTACTAACCGAGAGAGTGTCACAAATAGTCAATTCATCTTTCCGAACCCCGAGATAATGGGAATAAAACTCGGAACCGTCGACATTCTTTACGTTTACAAAGTAAAGTATTATGTATTTCTACACTCCTGTTTACTTTCTACCTTGCCAATTTTTAGTTTTGTGATTTTATATCTTGCTGTTATATCATATATTTTTATACTATTATTTATGTCATGCTCTGATACTTTTGGTAGTGCCAAAAAAACAGGTACAACAAGTTGTATATTTTAAAGAATTTATAACCTTCACCGCTGTGTGATAAACTGGTTGAATCGACAAGCAAAAAACCAAGATCACTATTTACACAGGAAGCTTTAGACACGACAAATATAATTATCTTATACGCACAAAACTGCTAGGAGTATGGAATAACTTATGCTCTTAGAAAGCTGACTTGTTAGTAGTTATCAGTATCTGCTTTATTGTTTTGCCCGATTGATATTCTACAATTTTCTAATTGACCTTGTCAACGATATTCTTGTGATGGAAGCATACATTTTTAAATACATAACTTTTGTCCTTGTCCTATTTTCCAGAATATCGCCGTGTATTTCCAAATTTAATCTAAATCTTATTCTAATAAATATATATTATTATTAGTTATCCGTCTACAATCGCTTATTTTTCTTGTCTCGTAATTATCATACTTCTAGTCTTTTTTCTAAAATGCTTTCTGGCTTAAATCGTCGATCTACATTTTTTTTTTTATCTTTGTGGCATATTGGATAGACATATTTGTAAATTAGTTATACATTCCTGTGGCAAAAACTGATATTTATCTCTCGATTGAATGATCAATAGGAAATCACGATCAAACAAAAAACAACTTTAATCAGATCAACCAAATTCACATGATCTCCAATAATAGGCGATGTTGATGGAAGGTAAACCGCCAAAGCCATATGCTTGCTACCAACGATAATAGCAGTATACTGTACTGTAAAAATTAAATCTTATTTAGATAATGATACCTTGGTTGCCACTGCTTGATTAGCTTGTTAACAAATTTGGTTCACCGTGACTTCCCTTCACCAATAAAATTGACTTCAATTTTCTTTTCTTTTAAATTTTTGTTCTATGTATTTACTGACAGGAAAAAATAAACTGGACCGGCTGTCGCCTCCCTCTCGAAAGATAAATAAGGCAATGAGAAAAATAAACTCGGTTCCCGTACATTTGAACCCACACGTACATTTGAACCCACACGTACATTTGAACCCAAGACAATTGCACCTGCATACTATTGCACCCATGGAATTTGTTTTTGTTTTGCGGATATTTGAACCCATACTAACCCTAACCCATGGGTTTTAGCACCCGCATATAGATTGAACCCGCGGATATACACATAGGTTCACATGTATACGTGGGATCAAATGTACGGTCACGAATAAATTCAAATGTGACGAAAACTGCGGACGCATATATTGATTTAAAGATAGCAAACGTCCAAACTTGGTAAGCTGTATCATAAGACATCGGGCACGCGTTTGCCTCAATGCTTAGGATGGCAATAACAACACAAACAATTTTGAATCCTTGACTGCAAACAAAAGACCGATTCTAATGATATCAAGTAACAACCGTGACGGTAAACTGACGTATATAGACAGTCCTAAGGTAAGTCAGAATATCTCAAAGATGGTTGAAAATGTGCACACAGCCCTCATACCTTTAGGAGATCTGAAAACTGCATGTAAAAGTTTAAAAGATATTATGACATCGGTATAAAAACATTTCAGAAAATAGAAGTCAAATGTATTCAACGGGCCAATAAAAAGAATCGGGTGTAAATGTAAGCAATACAGAAGTTTTTTTTTATAGTGAATGTATACAGCTCTGAAATAAAGAGGCAACCTATACCACGTAATTAATTGCTTTGGGAGTTGAACAATGATATGTGGCGAATTGAATGCTCAAAACAATATTTGATATTGATCACAAGCAAACGAGGCTAAGTAGTGCAATCGTTCATTGAGCAGAATAATCTTGTTTTGCTGAATGATGACTTATCAATAATAGAAGCATTTGTATTACTACAAACGACATTGCCCGTGCTGGTTGCTACAAAAAAAACTGAAAAGTGACGACGTGCTATGGATAACATTAAATACAAAATTCAAATCAAAATCCTGCTTTAATATCACAAAATGGATTAAAAAAAAACACAGGGTGGGAAAAATATAAATTGTCTTGTGCATTACTTCTTTCCTGTGCGTGGTGCACGCCTAAGCGTAGGTATTCAGATAAAAAAAGGACAGCATCTAATCCAGATATATGCTTAGGAACGTAACTATACGTTTTTGGATAGCATGGATGGGCCGAGGTATGGAAACGGAAGCAATTATTGAACTTCAATATCGAATCGCACGCTGTTTTTACTGAGATCTTACTTCTATTTTCACGTTACATTCACCACAAATCAAATATACACCGGTATATATAGCAGAAATCGTGTGATTGGTGATTAAGATCTCACACAAACAACCTATGATGTGATTGTCGACACACGAAATAGCATGTTTTGTTTTAACGTAGATAATTGTATGGATAACGTAAGGAACTCGCTGTCTTCGAATATTCATAGTGGATCTGTCTCAGGATATGCATCCATTTGCGTATGTCTAAGAGTTGGTTTGGTGTTTGAGAGTTGTCGCAGATATCAACAATTTTTTGCATTATCGTGTGAAATGTAGCATTGGAATATCTATTTTCTGTCATGGTTACGATGGTTCGTCTTTATTACAATTCTTTCAATAAAAAAATTAACGAGCCGATTTTGCATTCGCAATAATCTATCTGCAGAAAAACATATAGCGGGTCGATATAAGTTTGTAGGCATGAGACGCGGGTACCATTATTAGCTTTTTTCCATGGCGGTATATGCGGTAGGTGTGTTGCTCATTTTGTTCAACTGTTGGGAATTGAGCGATCAACCAGTTTCGCATATTAGCGACCGATTCGTCGTTGATTTGTTCCAACTAGCTTGCTTCTACGTTGGCTGTACTGCAAAAATACCTACCTCAGCTAAATTATAACGCTGAACGTTTTCGATAGCTTCCCAATCGTCAATTTCCATTTTCTGTTCTTGATTGTAACGCATCGTGGTCGTTTCATGAAAATATATTTTCAATAATTTCCCCCCCATGTTGCTTTTGAACTAGCATGCCTACAGAAAATGGATAAATTTCAGAACGGTTTGCATACGGAACGGTTTGATTTCATATACCGTAAATATTCGAGATTGCAGCGACTATTTTGTTAAGGTTTTCTCATGCTTAATGGCGGTAAATAAGCGCATAATGTAGACATTAGTATGTTTAGGATGAACTCAACTTGAAAGTTGGAATTCAACTTGTACCGTGCACATCAACACATTCCATGACGTAGTGTGAAAGCCTTTTTACTGAAAAAATATTTAATGTTGCGTAACACATTCAGGGATAATTTATGCTATATCGGGCACGGAGCAATGACGTAGACTGCTTATGCAGTGCCTTTTCATATAGGGGCCTTCCTTCTAGGTATGGCAAGTATGTGTTCGACTGGGCTAGTGATGTCATTCGGAAACTCGCAGTCTCATAGATGTCTGTAGAATTGCGCAACTATAGAAGTACGGGAAATTGTTCACGTCTTTACAAACTATGTCAACTGTAATTCTGTATTGGATTAAGTATTGGATCAAAATCAAACGCCGGCCCAAACGGTTGTCCACCTGCGAAAGTCAATATTGGCACGCAAAATTGAAACGGTTCTAGTCTTCGATTGCATAACCGTGAAAGAGCGTAATGGCATTTTGTGGCATATAGAGTCGCCGGGGGCTATATTTAAAGATGTTTGAATTGTCGAGTTAAGTGAAAACCCATTTTTGTAAACAAGAAGTGAATGCCTAAATGGGTATGCATAAATTTCCATGTCAGATTTATTTTACTTTACAATATTTATGAAACGCTATATAGCAACAGTTACATCGAAAGAAAACTGTGATTACAACGAAGCAGATAACATAGCATAGCAGCAACAAAATAGCTCAGTATATCGAAGTCAAAAATCGTATATGCTTCTTAATCGTCTGTCTACGAGATCACAAAAAATGACCGATCATTAAAATTAGCATAACTGTTATACGAAGCTCGTAGTAAGTCTCGCGTATATCTTTACATACTGGTTGACCTAATTTCCGTAGAGTTTTTTGCTCTGATTTACTTTTGTCGATTTTCGTAATGCACATTTCAATATTGATTTCGAGGGACTCAAGTATACGGAATTAGAACTCCCAGCCATACTCTTGATATTTTCATCGAGCTTATCGATTTTGTGGGGTTTTGCTTATTAGTATAATTACATCGGGATATTTCTGCTTTGCTAGTCATATGACTAATCCATTGGGAATATTAGTCAGAGCTATGGATTGGGAAGTTAAGCTAGATTGTGGGGAAGAAAGCCAATCACCTCAGAAGAATTTTTTATTATTTAGAACGCAGCTTTATGATGATATACTTCATTTTTTCAGTGTAGAATAGTTTTTCTAGACTTTAAACCCAAATCTTTGTAGAGCAGACAGACTAGCGTATGTAATGTTAAGGATATATATTCACACAATTTACGCCTTACTCGATGACGTTTTACATTTCTGGTGTCTCAAAATGCAAAAACAAATTGTACAAAGTGTCGTTCTAAATTATGTTGCAAAAGATGACTGTGCTCATGAATAAAATATATTATGATAAATACAAATCATTGCGCACTTTCATCTCAGTATTCATTATTTATCATGCAATTAAAAAAGGGCTCAGCATCTTGGTCGTGAGACGGTGTAAGAAATAATGTTGGGAATGAAGCTGGTTGTTCTAAGAATATCAAAGGCAAGAAATCTTTGCACAATGAGCTCTTTACTTTATATTGCGAAGGCGAGAATGTCTTTATTTTGTAGTATTGTCCGCATCCGCGGTAATCCCAAGTTAAATTTCTAATAACGCATTTTGTGAAGTTGAGTATGAGTGAAATGAATATGTATTGGAGTGTTATCAATTTGACATTGGTTTCTTAGCAAGGGATCGAAATGTCAATTTAAGTCGAGGTGTTCTTTTTAATTAAGAAATATTTCATAATCTAGATATACCTGACCTGAAATATAAAGTATCACTAGGTTTCTTATTCCTTCGAAGATTTGAAACGTATGCTATACGATATAGATGTATATATTGATTTTCAGAAATTATATATTGCATACTACAAGCATAATCTCCTTAGTGTGAATTTATTCCACGCGTCAGTCCAATCCATTATTCATGAGAATGAACGTTTGTATTCGTATGTACAGATTGCTGATCGACGACCGGATGCATAACAAAATAATTATAAATTCGAAGTCCAAATACCCTCCCTTACAACTCAAACATTAATCTAAATTTTATTGAACAACGTCATGCGCTAGCAAAATTCATTATATGGCTTTGTTACTCTGGCCTGACAGTTTGTTTGATAAAATAAAATAATATTTGTTACTTTATAACATAAAACTTCATTTTCTTTCCAAATATGTTGTCACAGTTTGATTACTTGGCTGATGTAACATTATCTACTTGCAATGAGCAACCATGTACTCGGACTTTCTTTACTTTCAATGTTGTTGGCTTGTTCATGCTTAACTTTCACCGCCGCAAACTTGGAACGTGGACTTTCGGCAAAGGAAACTGAATGGTACAATGCTAAACGTAATTGGACGCTTCGCTCGCTTAAGAATAACGAAATCAAGAAGATCACAGGCTTTGTAAATATAAAAAGACTCCAGAATAATATTCTGCCATATCTGTTAGTTACGAGACCATCCGGATCAAGCAATATTGAATATGTTCGTCGCCTTATCATCACATTCCTCCAATTAATTCTGGGCTGGACTGTAGAATTAGATACTTTCGTCGGGTATCCACCATATCCACACAGACCTACTTCCTTCACAAATATCATTGCAACCTATAACCCTCGAGCAGAGAGACGTCTAGTGTTAGCATGCCACTATGATTCCAAAAGAACCCCAATGCATTTTATAGGTGCCACCGATTCAGCTGTTCCATGTGGAATGTTGATAGAAATTGCTGTTGTGTTACGTAATTACCTCGACTCTTCTTTTTACAAAAAAAATTTGACTCTACAACTCATATTTTTCGACGGAGAAGAAGCTTTCGGAAAATGGACTGACACAGATTCACTATACGGTTCGAGGCACTTGGCTAAAAAATGGCACAATACTCGATGGCCTCTCAATAATATTGAGTCCAACAACACAATGTTAGATGCAATTGATCTGCTGGCACTTCTTGATTTGCTTGGTAGTTCGAATCCGAAATTTTATAACAACAGATTTGTGAAATCTGAACACTTCGCAGACTTGATTCGAATTGAAAAAGAAATATTTGGGGTAAATCTATATTTCAAGAAAAAAATTGCAAACTCTTACGTTGAAGATGACCACATTCCGTTTTACACGCGTAATGTACCTGTTTTGCACGTTATACCGTCACCGTTTCCATGGCATTGGCACACTTTGCAAGATAACATGCAAAACCTGGACTTCACTACCATAGAAAGACTAACGAAAATTTTTGTTGTGTTTGTTTCTGAATATTTGCATCTTGATATCTTATAATGCAATATGTGCCGTGCTTCCGTTATATATTTCCGCTACTTGTTTTGAATTCAAATAAATTCTGTATTCACGTCTAAAGTTGTGTTAAGCAGGCACATTTACATATTATTTAAGTAAATAATATTTTGTCGTAAAAATGGAAAGTGCGTAAGTCAAATACACAACAGCAATCTACTTTTTGGTTCCCAGTTAAGGTATAGTAGAATATAAAGCATCTACATTCTTATATGTTGTATGTGAATAAGGCTTACAAGCAGTAGTGGGATTCAGTCGGTTCGCACCGGTTCTATAGAATCGTCTCACGGAATTTTATGAGATCAGCGAACCGGTTGGCATTACTGAAAAAAGCATGACTTTTTGTAACAGAACAGGCTGAAAAATATGACATTTGTGCGATGGAACAGGCATACAAAAATTGGAATCCCTACACTATATATAAGATACAATTCAGTTCATTCTCAATTCCTTAACCAATAACCGCATTAATTTTCTGCAATTAGGAAATGGCTAAACGATGTTAGCCTAACAGGAGAAAAATCAATGATATATTTGTGATCTGTAAAATAGCAGTAGTTAGTCCAGGGATGTTCAAAACCGAATAATCTACTTTATCGAATACATTCTGGAATAATATTTTAAATATGAAATAGCAAATATACACCAAAATATTGCAATGTATAATGAATTAGTTTAAATTTGAAAATGGGAGAAAGTTGAGATAAACTGTGATGCGATTAGTTTGGTATTTTTTACTTTATAAAAAGACCTGAAGTAATAATTTTTTAAATGAAAGCATCTTAAATTATTCTTTAAATTGAAAATATCGAATATGGTTAATTCCTAATCGATTCAAACATTCGATTTGTTTCAGATATCCCTGGGTGCAGGACCGGATTTAGGCGATGAAAGGCTATATCATTTATGAGGCCCTCTTTAACAATGACGTCATAAATAATCTATTATGCCGTCATATTGTTCATGTATAATGCTATTGTTTATGGCGAATTTTTTAGATTGCGTGATACACGACAGGCAAGATACTCACCGAAGTAGATTGGATAGGTTCAATTTAAAAAAAACACCTAAAAAAAATCTCAAGGCTGCAACGAGACTCGAAGTTATAATACTCGTTTCTAGTCGCGGGAGGTGGACGGGCATCGTCCAATTACTGATAAATAAAAATATCATTCCATTTTTTTTTAAATAAACGGGTCTACGATAAAAAAAAATATTTGAAATAATATTTTATACAATTCTTAGTGACTTAGATAAATTAGTACAGCTTAGCTTTTTCAAAAACATAAAGGCTTTATTACAGTAAAATCTGTTGAAATAATTTCAATTAACATCTCTTGTTTTTCAATGCTGTAGGGATAGAGCAGCGGTACCCAAACTGAGGCCCCTGGCCCACTAGAGCAGTTGGAGGGGCCACAAGAATAGACGCAAAATTGATTTTAATGCAATTTCGTTTGCTTTCTTTTCCTCCGTGAGAAAATTCCTTGTTTTTCTAGCTTCATTTCCTGATATAAGTTTATTTCACAAGGCGATTTCACTTTCTTTTGCATGAATTCTTTGATGCTCTGCAAGTTCTAACCCTTGTAGTTATTTGGCAGGTCTGCAGATAATGGTCGAACCTATTTCACTTACAAACAAAGACAGTTTCACAAAACTGTGAGATAGCCGTGGTAAACGTATTGTCGACACAGAGAAATATACTTTAATTCATAATATTCCCATGAAACGGAAATGAGACGATAATTACGTTGCCTTAACCAGGGTAAGACCAGAATGTTTGAAGAATTGACACAAATGCTAAGAGCGCCCGAAATTGGGCCACGAGTCATAAAAGATTGGGAGCCACTGGGTTGAAGTTTTTCGAAATTTATCAAATTCCTTTATCCGACCTATTAAATTTATAACCTTCTGAACGGTAAATACTAGGGACACAAAGTATTGACCAGATTAAAAAACTACACTACACAAAAATCAGTTTTATAAAGTTTTTAATCAGCTTTATTTTGGATCAAATATTCACAATTTAAAATACTTTAATAGCTCGTGACTTATATGGTCCATATCATTAACACTACATTGCAAATTAAAATGCGCTAATCACAACTACGAGCTAGTTGCCATTAAATGGTATGCTTGCAGCAAATGCAGCATAGGAGGAAATTTTGGAATTTTTTTCCAGGACGTATTAGTTTTATATCACGTAGCAAAGTACACATATGTGCCACTTTGTTCAAAACCAGCTTGTGTTTTATGTGCACGGTTATTTACACGATTTTGAGGAGTTTCATCCCTGCTTCAGGGTAAACCTAAAAAAGATACGGGGGTAGACTTTAGATTAAAAATTGTGATGGTGAACAGCATCCGTGTTGCGTTTTCTGTTGGATCCCTATTTTTCGTAAACGATACTCTTGGAGGAAAATCGTCTTAGATGTTTTATAGTAATCCAGACGTAGCGTGAAAGTACATGGTTTTCTTATCTGACAAGAGGTCTACCGTTTTACTGGTATATATTAATAGGTAGCTGATATTAGAATTCTCTTTTGTATTTTTCCTTCTTGTTGCTGTAAAAAATCGCTTTTTCCTTCAAGAGAGCAATGGACACGAATGCTAAAACGAAATGTTTTACTCAAACTTTCCTGCAAAAGTCATATATATCCTAAACAAAACTGGAACAGCTACATAACTTACCAGTAAGCCTACCGGTAGCCTACCCGGACTGTCCTAGATTTCCCAGGTATACTTTCACAATGATAATTCAGGAGTCCAGTCTCAACTTGAATTGAAGTACCACATGATTTGAGTCACAACTGTAGTAGCAAATCTTCCACAGTACCGGTAGAATACATCATAAAACACCTGAATGAATGAGAATGATCGATGAAATGCGATCGTTGAACCGCCGCACGGTGTGCAATTTTTCATTTTGATGACGTCGGCAAACAAAACGTTTAAAAAGGGAAAAACGAAACTCATAAAGCGCACAGAAATTTTTGAAATAAATAAGAGTCTTTTGACGACAACAACAATCTTGAAACCCCTTGAAATTTTGATTGGAATAAAATTTTTATCAACAATTCCCACAAAATCATATCCTGAATGAAGCTGGAACTTTGAAAGAGCTACGGTAATTTACCAGTACCGAGTATCAGAGTACCGGAGAGTCCTAGCTTTTCCATGTCCTGTGACGATAATGATTCATACTTCCAGTTTCAGTGTGAATTGAAATATCTAATGATCCGAGTCTTTAATATCATTAAATATTTTTACTTTTTTTTATTTTAAAAATTTCTGTGGGCTCGTTTTTTGTGTACCACGACTTCGTCAAAAATTGCGCACCTTGTGGCGGTTTTGCGTTAGTCGATAGTTAGAAGATTGCGGTATGGTCTAATCACGTGACTGACTGCATATACCCGCACTACCTCGTTTTGAGTTTCGTGTCCACGTGTTTGAGCATCGTTTTTTTGTGTTAATATTTTGTTGTTGTTCTTATTCTTGTTGGTATTTTTTTTCCAATCCTAGTCATTTTTATTCCTTTCTAAAAAATAGCTTTTCTCTTCAATTACTGGACCAATTGCTTCAAAATTTATAGCGATTCAAGATAATATTTTTTGCTAGAAAGTTATTACTTTTTTATTACAAAAATTGTCTGGGTCCCATGGGTTTATGTTTTTGAGTGCCTTGATGCTATCAAAAATTACGCGCCTGTTGACGGTTCCGGGTTCGCATTAGTCGTGCGGATTGCAGTACTGGCAGTGTGCTGTGTCAGGGTGCATACCCCTACTACTTCGTTTTGGCTTTCGTGTCCATATATTGAAGCATCGCTCCTCTGTTACTTATCGATTTTAATCGGTAAATATGTTGATAGGTATTTGTCTGTTTGTATGTCTGTCTGTCTGTCTGTTAGATGCACGCGATATCTCCCGAAAGCGAGATTAAATCTGCACCAGATTTTGCATGTGCATTCATAATATCTCGGACCAGAAGCCTATTGATTTTGGGCGAATTATGTCGTATGATTAGCGAGTTATTTATTAATTAGTGATGGAACACAAGGTGTCACTATGGAGTAAGAGCGCTGTTTTGGGGAATCCCCTAACTTTCGATCGATAAGTCTTCGGTCCCTGACCGATATTCTCTTTTTTATTTTGTTGTTGTTCTTGTTGGTATTTTTCTTCTTATTGTTAGGAAAAATTGCTTTGTTTTGGACGACCAATTAATTTGGATTTTTCAGTGGTCAAAGATTCTCTTGTTTGCTAAAAAGCTATTTCTTTAATTTATTTCAAAAATTGTTGTGGGCTCCACGTGATTGTTTCTTTGTGTGCCATGACGTCATCCAAAATTACGCACCTTCTGGCGGTTCCGGGTTTCTATTAGTCCTGAGGATTGTGGTACCGTAGGGAAATATGTCAGATTTCACATTCCTACTACTTTGTCTTGACCTTCGTATCCATATATTTGAGCATAGCTTTCTTGTTATTATGTTGTTGTTGTTGTTGGTATTTTTCTTCTCGTTGTCATGAAAAATTTGCATTTTTTTAACTACTATTCCAATTGCTATGAAATTTTCGTGTTCAAATATTCGGGTATCGCTCTCTTGATTTAAATTGTGCTGACGTCACCACTCAAGACGTCGAAGTGAAATCGAATTCCATGAAGCCCGCAGGAAAATTTTGAAATAAATAAAATTAATGGCATTCTAGCGATAACAACAATCTTTAACCACTGAAAATTTAGAAGCAATTGGTCCAGGGCTGTGATAAGTTCAGGGTACTTTTTTGCAGATGTAGCGTTAACAAGCTGACTTTATAGGAGAAAATGCGCAAAGTTTTCGTTAGACATTTGTAACACTCCCGAATATCTTGCCGGGGCTTAGACAGGAATTTTCAAAGTGGGGAGTTATTACATTTCTAATAATTGCTAAGTCGGACCGAGGAACAAATCTGATCGTGCTTCATCTGCAATGCATCGCATGCGTATTAAAGAAACTTTGCAGAAGAAAATGAAAATGAAGACATTCTGTGGAGAATGCGCTACAACTACCGTTGACGATTTTACTACAAAATGTTTCGATAATACTTATGTTAGTTTATGCGATAGTTTAAAGTCGAAATAACTTTCAAAAAGTAAAAAAAGTAGAAAGAGAGTTTATTGCAGGTATTTTCCAAACGATATAGACGTACAGAAACCGGCATAAACTATCCACATAAATATTCATTGGTAGAATAATGTTTGGTTAATATCAATTGCGATTTTGGGTCGCTACAAAAAGTCACATACTGGTAAAAAGGTCAATAAAATTTTATTTTTTTTCTGAACTAAGATATCATAATTTTTACTGCTGAAACAAAATACAAACATAAATAGTTGCTATGTTACTGAAAATCCACGAGAAAAATATATACGTTTGGAATCAGCAACATATAAATATATCACAGTAAAGTAAATTCATAGTTGATTAGAATACTTTAAATCCCGCTATAAATTATAAGCAAAGATGTAGGTAGAGAATAAAACGAGAGAACAATGCACGAATATTTCAATTATAAGATGCCGGTAGAGGCATTGATTAGGAGCACAACAATTTCAACTTGTTCACTATTTATTCAATTACCACAGTTTAAATTATATAAAAACTAATAATTAAAAGTGGACACTACAACATAAATAAATTACAAAACCTCTTTGACACGGCCACAAATTATATTTAATGACCACTAAACTAAGGTTTCAGTGACATTCTCATTGACTAAGACGCCGTAGAAACTTTGAGTAGAGATGGGAACATAGAATTAAGTCAAGACCAAAAAATAACTAAAGGTAGGTTACAGATTGTAAGTAATTGTGGTCATTTAGTTAAAACTTATACAGTTCTATTCGCTTTTGTAATAATGATTCCATTTGTGTCGCAGAATGACATGATCGACAATGCCAATATTGTTTAACACTTTCGATGCCAAGATCAGTTTTTTCAATTTTACCGTTCCGTGCCAAGGTGAAAACGAGAGAGTTCTCTCCTATTCATTCTCTCTCGTATTTAGTTTTTGATTCATCGGGAAAGGGGCGAACCCAGCGGTGTCATCAGTTATCGTTCATTCCGACACTTCAGTCGTAGGTGAAAGAACTCACCTACACACGCGTATCTTGTCGGAATTGCTCTCTCATGCTATTATAACATAAGTTGATGATAACTTGTCTTGATCTCTCATTGCGATATAGATTCAATTCGAACATTTTATTCAGCAATCAGAATCATTTTATTATACGAAAATATCAAATTTGAACAAAGAAAACAAAATCGTTTACTAGCATAAAAATATATCCTTCATTCGCTATATATTCCAATAACATTAATAATGGCCAATTATTGTCACTCACAAGGATAACATATTGCAAAATAAACAAAGTAGTCACATTGCATATTCATACAACTGTAACTGTAGCAAAGTTAAAATCCAGGTGCGTTGGCGCCAATCGGACTCCGCACATATTTTTTATATTTCTATTTGCGATTCATCGGCCAAGCTAGATATGTTGATAGTTTAGTGCATGGTAGACGCTAACTTCACCAAACCATAATTCGAATGAGGCAACATATTGACTACGTCTGTGATTCCATAGCGTTTTTGACAAATTCCTCGATTGATGTATTATTTTATGCACCACCATACTGCACATTAATTTTTATAATGAATTCCGATATGGAAGCTCGATAATAAATTTACTATGTTCGTATGTTTCAAGTACATATGTGTTACAGTTGCATGAATATGCAATGTGACTACTTTGTTTATTTTGCAATATGTTATCCTTGTGAGTGACAATAATTGGCCATTATTAATGTTATTGGAATATATAGCGAATGAAGGATATATTTTTATGCTAGTAAACGATTTTGTTTTCTTTGTTCGAATTTGATATTTTCGTATAATAAAATGATTCTGATTGCTGAATAAAATGTTCGAATTGAATCTTTATCGCAATGAGAGATCAAGACAAGTTATCTCCAACTTATGTTATAATAGCATGAGAGAGCAATTCCGACAAGATACGCATGTGTAGGTGAGTTCTTTCACCTACGACTGATGTGTCGGATAATACCGAAACATGCGTAATACATTTCAGGTGCGTTTGTATCTTAGTATTGCTCCTGAGTTTTCGTCGGGCGCTTCCAGATTTGGTGGGTTCAGTCAGTAAACGATGAAATTCGAAGTCTTTACTTGCCTCGGCAAACATTTCATTCAATCTGGTATTTATAGCGAGCAAATACTTATTTGTGTGGATATTTGAACTAATATTGGCGTGCAAATGAAGTATTTCCAAATGCAATTTCAATATTCATTATACGCATCCGGTGTCTCTAAGTTGACATAATAAAAAGGTTTAAAGCTTCATCGAAATTCGTCAGTTGATCTGTCAAGAACACGATTTTCCGAAATTGTCATCTCACGCAATTTGCTACGCAAGTCTTCTCGACTGCACGTAGTCCCGTCTTCGTGGCGCCAGACACGTGATCGCTATTGCGTAGCTACGTAATCAGTACGCCATGGCTGCTTATTGAACTTGTTCATCCGACACAAAGTCGTAGGATTGCATATTTTGCTATAATTATGGTTCAATCTGGCTAAATTTTTTTTGTCTTTTTTAAACGGTGAAAGAAACTATTTCGCTATATAACCGGAGGAGGTTCCGTCTCTTCAAAATTCATATAAACATTAGAGTTTGACAATCTACATCGCAGGCCCTCTTTCTCATCAAATTCAATTTGCAAAACCCCTTCTCGAAGGTGTCGTCCATTTAATCTAGTAATACTGGCGGAATGTTCTGAGGCGACTCTTCGCCTAAAGTCTCCATCTCCAGCTTCGGAGGGACTTTTCTTCGTATAATTTGCATTTCTCTTACGCGTTTTGCGTACAACTGCGTATACGGCGCTTTCACTCCTTGGCCATTCCTGTTCACGAGATGTTGACGTTTCCGCCGGTTCGCTATGAGTGCTTTTGGCTGATGTTCGACTATTTTTAAATGGACTGTCTCGAGTAATCGGTACAAACTTTTGCATGTCGTCTTGCACCATACCAAAGGATACTTCATCGTAAATGTGCTCTGAAAATATGAGAATTTATTAGGAAAATATTTAAATATATAGTGCAACTTTCAAAATTAACTTAGATCATGCTTCTGAAATAATAGTTGCCAAAACAATTCTGATATTTACCATTAAAATTTTTTCCAGAATCGCCATGCTAATATATATTAAAGCAGTGATAGATACTTTGTAGTAGTTATTTTTTTTTTCATTTTGTACACTGCAAAATGAAATTCATATTTTTTAAATTCTGAATTTATTACATGTGACTAAACAGTTCTAATATCATTTAAATATCAGTTTGTCTGTTTTTGTAAGTCGTCATGTTGAAACTAAAATTCTTGCATATTTAGAAATAAATGATAGTACCTTCCCCTTCGACTTGAATAATTTTCACAATATCTGGGACTATAGATGTTTGGGATTTATTGGGTGTTGCTATTTTTTCTTCTGATGATTCTCCAATTTTCCAATATTCAGCGTCAGACACCCCCTAAAGTGAGAAATTAAAGTGAATTCAAATGTACACCATCCCGCAGAAACCATTTGGAAACTAGAATAGGGTCGATTCTAACAACATTGACGTTTACTAATCGATTTTGTGTTTCCTATTTTGTAAAGCCGACGAAATAATCTATTTTAATTCGGGAGAACGTATTTGGCAAGTTCTGACTTCTGACAGAGTACAAAGAACGAATTCTAGCATATGCATTTTCAATAAGCATTGATCTTGGTCCATGGTCGCCTCACACGGCTAAGATTTTAGAAATTTAATTAAATAAATAGCATTGTGACATTGTAACTAACATCACGCACCAATAAAACCTTATATTTTACAATACAATAAATGTAGGCTCAGATGTACCTATTCGCTATTGTATATATAATGATTTTCTACGTCACGATTTAATCATTTGGCATTTCTAGTACTTCGTGAATTGCATTGCCATTAGTATTGACCGCCTTCACTTATATACATTATTGAATAGTCTTGAGTCCTAGTGAAGTTGTTATTCGTTTGCTTCTTCGTATAAAATTGAACGAACGAATGTTACAATATGTACTAACAAAGGCATTAGGCTGCATATAAATTTAACAAAATTCTGTTTGCGGATATAATTTTCAAACAATCACAGTAATTGCCAAGCAAAGTAAGTGAAACATAAAGTATTATATAATTGTTTACTTATTTAAATTACTATTCTTACATGAAAAAATTACCTAAAACTGAAATATTTATCATGCCTATCTAATAACTCACCGAATCAGATGACGTTCGGCTTCTGTTCGGTAATGCTGGCCTTTCTCTAATCCAAGTGGCAATGCGAAATGAAGAACTATCAACAACGGGATTTCTACCACTTCGTGATCTATACAACGAAGATGAGCTATAAGCCGGTCCGGGCGGCGTTTTAGTGTCTCTTTTCATCAACAGAAATATTATGATTGCTATCAACACAATAAATATGATGCCAGCACCAGCACCGCCAGCTATGGTTACCAAGTTGAAAGGATTATCATCGTGACCTGATTGACCACCAGGTATTGCAGCTACAATAGCTGTGGATTCCTCCTGGTTAAAATTTAAAGATGTAGTTCGAGGATTTGTTGTTGTAGCTCTTACAATTGACTTTGTAGAGCTCACTGATATATAGTCTGGTACTATAGTTGTGGAGGTAGTGGTAATTGTCGCAGTTGATTTTGTAAAACCTGTGGTTTGTTTAGTAGTTGTGGATTTTGAAGTTGTTGTAGTCGGTTCAGTTTTGTCCTGTTTTGTTGTGCTAAGAACGGTTTTGGTGGGCTTTGTTTTTATGTGGTTATTTGGTCCAGTTGTTATTTTTGCTTTTGTGGTATGACTTGTTGTCGCATCCAATTTCTTTATAGCAGTAGATGTTCTGAAAGTTTCTGGTGTTGTGATGGTCCTCCCATATGTGGTATGCGGACTAGTTTGAATTGTGGTGGTTGTTAATTTTGTTATCTTAGCGGTAGTGATGCCCCTTGTTGTTTCCGGTTGAGCCGTGGTTACAATTGCAGTTGTCGTGTCTAAAACACAATCTGGCGCTCTAGCTCTTGCCTTTGATCTCACAATGCATCGCCCTAACCTTGTTGCTGCTTCCTCTCCCCCAGAACAATTAGTATTATTTGTTATATCCCCGCCACATTCTTTACAATTTCTTACAAAATGCATCGCAATCCCAGTGAATTTTGGCGTCTTACATTCCATGAAACATTGCCTCTTATAACCAGTCCAAGTAAAACAAGGAACCGGTTTACAATTCTCAAATTTGACTCCACAAAAATTCCTCGCTCCTTTTCTAAAACAATTAAAATATGTAGTTCTGGTATTTTTTCCACCTGGTCCATTTGCCTTACATGTACTTTCGATAGACCAGTCTTTTATGCAATGAGAAGGATTGCTTTTTCCAGCTGAACGACCTCTGTTTGGAAGTGAGTATTTGTAAGCTGTCATTACACATTCTGGTTTTGCGTTACACTTTTGGGTTGACACTAATACTTTTGAAAAACATTTCCTAGGGTTAGTTGGTTTAAACCTCGTGTCACTTTCAGAAGTTCGTTTTTCCTTTGACCACTGACTTTTGCCAGCGATTCGCGGACAAGCATTTTCATCTTTTATGCCCGCTGAAATGCAAGCATCAGAAAACGTCCTGTGGAACGGGGGAGAAGTATATTGTGATGATGAATATCCTAATTTGAATAATGCGATTGTTAATGTTATGACCAAGGTACGTGGCTCCATATTTTAATCTTAATTAAATATCACGTATGCATGTTGACTATGCCAAATTATATAATACTCAGCCTGTTAAAAAATCAATAGTTAATTGCAATTTGCATTGTACAGATTAAAGCGTCCATTTTTTAATACGGCACGCAAACAAGCAAACAAATCGTGTTTCTTCTAAAAAGAATACTGCTTCACAAGTTTCAACTTTGAAGTTTGTATACAATTTATTCCCATAATAACATGAACTACAAAGCGATCATGAGTGGTTCATGGTTGATTTCGGATCAGGTTACAAACAGGTATATGGCGCGGCGGTGTGGCTCATCGTGCTAAGCGTTAGGAATACGCTCGACACAGCACCGAATCCCATGCGGGGATGGTCATGTGCGCGAGGATTTCTGAACTCCTCGCCGCCGTAGGGTGGTTCACGTAATCGCTGGTCGGTTACGGCTTTTTCCAACATCAAGTCCATGCTTCCGAAAACAAATAACTAACTCAGGGTGGTCCAACATTGTCGGCTCCGCGCGCCACAAAATTATTTTTGCACTGTTCACGGGCCACAATAGTGCCGGGAATAGGTAAACAGTGCAATACAAAATAAACATTTATTGTGCAAACACATAGTTATAAGACATAGCCTGCTCTGGCTAATAGAATCCGCATTCGATTCTTAGTTTTCTATGATGCCTATATTGTTAGCATATATTCCCGACCAAAAAGATAGAAAGCCAGATACTAATTTAGACTACAAAGCACATCATTCAACTTCGCTAGTTGCCTCACAGCTAGCCATAACACTAGTCAATTCAGTGCCATTGGAGATGTAACAATACGTAAAAATATTTTTCTGATTAATTTTATTACAAAATGCGATTTTTTGATTCTCTCCGAATGTGATGCGGGCCACAGATAATGGAGCGGCGGGCCACATGTGGCCCGCGGGCCTGGGTTTAGACCACCCTGTACTAACTAATGTCATAACCGACATGGAATGGTAACCGGACGAGAGGCCGTGGTTCGCCAAGCCGTCTTATCGGCTTTCCTACCCGCGGAATAACTATGTAAATCCTATTCGTCATAAAAAGATAGCACTGTGCCATAGAAATATTCATTCGCCATCGTTAACAAACCTCAGGTAAATCAGCTGCAAATTTCTTTTTCTCTGCACCTATCATATGAGTCTTTCTTTCCAACTCATCTGATCCCACTAGATTTAATTTGAATTTTCATTTTGGCATTTGCACATTCCATATCAATATATTAAGGCAAATTAATGATATATCACGAAAAGTTGCTAATATATAAAATTACGCACCAACCATTATCAGAAAAATGTCTACCGTCACGATTTCCTACCAGAACATATACCAATTTATGAAATAACATCTAAAAATGTATTGATCATGCGCTTGAATGTAAAATATTTTTCCCTAAAAATTATTATTATCTTATAAATGTCTTTGACACGCCATGACTACATATGAGCAGTGTTGAAATAGTCCGATATTAGGTTAAAGGTCAAATTGAAGCATATAACTTTATTTGTGGGTACGATGTTTATTTATTTATTGGTTCCCAAATTCAATATTTCTATTTCCCCATCTTTATGTATTGTGGTCAGCATATCTACGGTACTACAAAGAGGTGATATCTGCTTTTATAAAATTCGAAGTATTTTGGATGTTCAATTGATATTTTAAAATTATAAATAAAGTTTTGAAACGAACAGCACATGATGCAAATATTATAATATATTTCCACAAACTTTGCCAAAATCAATTTCTTGAAAAATCCCAATATTGATTTCCTGGCTTCGAGCTGTATCACGATGCGAATTAGTTTCGATTAGGAAAATGGATGTCAATACTGACACGATTTATTGCACCGAAAATAAAATGGCCAACCTTATAATACATATAAATTAGGTTTAATTAATTTAAAAATTAGTGGAATAATACTACATTATCCTGCTAGAACAGGTTTGTATACCCAGATTAGCTATAATATATATATATATATAATTTTCAAAAAATCACCTAATTTATAAATGCATTTATTGGACGGCAATTTTGATTGTTAATAAAATTCAATCCAGGCATTGTTACCTCAGTTACGTCAGGCTGCGAAAACTTCACTGAGATTTTGAAATTTGTCTAAATTTTGTAATATAGAATTTGGAAATAAGGAGCGAGTTTACCTGATCTCCTGGGAATAAATTACCTAGTTTGGCTCGCCTGATCTTTTCATATTTACCGAACGTTTTTACGTGACGTATTTCTTTAAAATATGACGTCATCACGTCACGATGCGTTATGGAAACGTATACTAATTCTTCAATGGAACATTTATCGTGAATGATTTATATTAATCATTTAATTTAATATTTAGTTTTGAAGTTTCCTAACGAGAAATAAATTTAATAATAAGAATCTCACATCAAGATTGCGGTTTGAAGCATATTAGCTATATGTTCTGCGAAATGTACCAATGTGAAAAGAAAAAGTACGCTGTAAAAAATCTCGCTGTGCTAAGTCTTCTAGAAGTAGCATTAACATATTTCAGTCTTCTTACACACGACTAAAATAATTCATAGTTAAAAATAATTTATGGTGTTATATTAGCAATAATGCTTTCTTGCATTTGATTTGCATATATGTTAAAACAACAAATTTGTATATTTATTAGTTTTGCATAACTTTTTTAAATAGTCCAAAATAGGCAAAGGGATGAATTTAATAAAAAAGTATGGTAACCACTGTTCTAAACAATACAAAGTTATGGAGAAAAAATACGGATAAACTGATTGCTAAACCATTGCTAATTACTTACATGATTATGGTAGACACAAGTTAATGAATAATGCAAATCGTTGCTGATATCTATTATTAGAAGACAAAACAAATAAACTATAAAAAGTTTGAATAAAATACGTCTAATGCGAATGAAGCATTCCAGAATTGCAAATAAGATCTAATGTCCTTACAAAGCATACCAATATGGATATCAAACATTTTTACTAAATGGCATACGCATTGTCTATTCTCAGGCTTATATCACTATATAGTAATAAACTTGTCACTCGCCTGGTGACCGATATTCAAATATACATTGATTCCTATCTGCCTACAACAAAACCTCGAAATCGCTAGATTCTACAGACTTTAACTCTGATCCTTCCCAACCCTGTTAGCATGTGTCTATTTCATCTCGTAGTTTTTGCATTGCACAAAATGGAATATCTGAAAGGTAATTTTGTCAAAGCCAGTATAGAAAATAGAAATACGTGCGCACGTAAGAATCGACCAATAAACAAGAGTAATGTGGCAACTATTCAAGGTTTATCTATGGGTCATGCATGTTTGAAAGAGTCAATTAGATTAGAGCAAACGACTTAAGTTAGTGGTTCACGCGATTTGGCACCAAAGGTCGACAATAACCCGTTCATATTATGACGTCATAATATGGAATTTTAAGATGTCTGCTGTTAAAGGTAGAGCGACGAAATATCACACAGGCGCCACCTTCGATCCAAAGGGATGACATAATCGCTAACCTGGATATACTAATGTCTCTCGATACTGATACGTGCGGTATAAAGTGCAATTTTGCTGTTGCCTGTTAAATCTGAATAAAAGTATTTTTCTTGCCTAGTACTGCTTTTTGTTCGCTAAGAATAATGTAATATCGATTCCACAAAAACACGTTTCAAAGTATGACTGCGCAACGACAAGATTTACTTCTAACATAAAATCAATATTTCGCATTAATCCAACGTTTCAAGGTTTTAGTTTATTACGTCATAAAGTTGCATGAAAATTTCGAAGAAGTTTTGTGACAGCCACGTTTACGGTCATTTCAAAACGTTTATTACATCTTTGGGCATGTTTATTCACAACTTCATATTATATGCAGATTTCCTCATGATATTTCAATATCATATGATTTAGAATGAAAATACCGTATTGAAAGTTGTTTAAAAGCAATAGAGACTTCTGCAGTGCAGTGAAAGTCATTGTTTTTCTGCTATTCATTTATTTTTGGATTTGACTTTTCAGATTTTACTGTATTTTTAACGGTTCGCGATGATGGCCTTCGGGATAAGATTGCACTTATTGACTGATTTCTAGTAATTATTGCTATGGCGTAGAGCTTGCTCAGTGAGAAAAAACAGAAAGCATCAACCTGGAGTTTAAGCCGAATTTTCCAATCCAATACGGAACCAGTGTCAATACATCTGAAAGTAATAACTGCCTTAACTACTCCATAGGGCGGTTACTGGGCAAAATGCTCGCTTCTCGCGAGCGCGATAGAGGTTAACCCTTGTCCTGTTCACACCCGCTACTTTTTGTTATACCAGTGCGACAATTTGGACCTAAATTTGTTGCAGCATTACATTTTCTAATACACAATGAATAATAAAAAATTTCAATATTATAAATTTAAAAAGTTACTCAATTGTTGTGTCTAGACATGCTTTTTAGACAAAACTTAACGGCGTGATTGGGCAGAACAAAACAACAAATACTAGTCATTTTTCATTGATCAAGTATCCAAACCGATGATGAATTAATTCCAACATTTGTGTTACAAAACTTTCAGTGAGTAAAGTCAATGCACAATCTCTGCTAATATTGTTCTGATATTATTTGCCAATGTTTGCTTGGTTATGTTTACAAGATAAGTCTGGTTGAAATTCATTATGAATTGATATCAAATTAGTTCGACTGATTGAATTTTCAGAAAAATTGCAACTGTTGCATATTTTCCCTATAAAAAATCCGTATATATATTTGATTTTACTCTTTTTCTGTGTTCTGTTGGTATTGGTCAAAATTTGACGACAATGATAAACTTTGATAGTTATAGTTTAAACCTAAAATATCGGCAAAGGTCAAGTGCGGGTCATGACTCTAGTCGACCTTCATCCAACCGACCTGTAATTTCTACGAAAATCGCAGCCAGGCACGTTCAGCATGTCTGCTTTGTAACAACGTGATATTGTATTTTTATACCTGTTTCCGCTTTTCCCAAGAGTCAACTTGGATGTTAAAGTCGTGATATAGCAATGCTCTACGTTT